CTTTTTAAATTATACTATAGTTACTATTAACTATATTAACGCTAGTAAAAAGAGAAAGTTATTAATATTAGTAACGCTAGCTTATCGTAATATTAATTAAGCTGGGCGCGCCTTATATAATTAGTAATTATATAAGGCACTAGCCTCTATAATTAACGCTGTAATTACAGCTGCTGCCTCTAATGCAGTTAACCTTATATATATCACCACTAATGCAGTTAATATAATATAATATTTACTGCCTATAGTGCCTTACTAGCTAGCTAGTCTTATAAGACTAATAATTATTAGAGATTAAAGTATTATAAAGTAAATAAAAACTTTAATCTCTAATAATATAAGCTTAAATAATACTTATATAATAAGTTTAATCCTTTAACTTAACCTCTCTATTAAAAAGAAGTAAAATATCTAAGCTAAAAAAATTTATTACTTTAAATATATTCTTAACTTTATATTAAAAGCTTTCTTATTTAGTAAGGATTTTAAGAACTTTAAGAGATAGTTAGATATATATATTCTTTTATAGTAAAATAAAGTTAACCTTAAGTATTAATATAAAGCTAGCTTTATTAATAAGTTTTATAATATTATAAGGTTTATTAAAGCTTTACTATAATATATATAGAGGTTTAAGATTTTATTTTATAAGATATTAGAAACTTCTAATTAGTTTAATAGCTTTCTTCTCTCTTAGTAGATATCTAAAAAACTTAAATTAATTTAAGATAATACTATAAAATAGAACTTTATATACTTTATAATTAAGTATACTATTTAGTTTAAGGATAAAATAGAAAACTTTTATTCTTCTTAGAATACTAAAGATTTTATATTAGCTTAAGATATCTTAACTTCTAATAACTAGCTATAATTAATAGAAATTATAATAATTTTAAAGCTTATCTAGAAAATAATATTTTAAATATAAAACTTTAGAGAAGATAGCTCTTATAGTAAACTTTAAAAAGTAATTATTATAATAGAGTATTTTTTAAGTTATTTTAAAAAGTAGAAAACTTTCTATAATAATATTAATAATAAGGATACTTAAGATCTTAAATTAAATAAGTTCTAAGCTTTTTTATAAGAAGTATTTTAGAGATCTACTTATTTAGTAAACTAATAAGTCTTATTATATATTTAAATATTATAAATATCTTAGAGATAGTTTAATAAGAGCTTTTTATTTACTTATACTTATTAAAAATATATTAATAATATCTTAAACTTAGAAAAGATAGATAGTAGTAGCTAGTAATACTTAAGGATTTTAATTAATAATAAATAGAAGAAGTTAGATAAATATTATATTTTAATAGAGGAGTTATTTCTATATATTACTATATTACTCCTTTACTTTAGTTTTAACTTAAAATACTTAAAAAGAAACTAATAATCCTCTTATTAGTAAAAATAAATATCTAATATTAAGCTAGCTCTAAAGAAGTATTTTAACTAATAGTATCCTCTTAAAAAAAGAGAAAATATAAGGAATATAAATTATTACTTAAAACCTATTAACTTAAATAACTTTAAGTAATAAATTTAAACTAAAACTATAATACTTAAAGAAGAAGAGGATAATAAAGAAATAGATAAATTAGAGAAGTATTTTACTTTTATAAAATAAGCTAACTATAATTTTATTAATTAGTAGTTTATTTATAAAGAGGAATATCTTTAGCTAAATAAACTAATATTAAAAATCTTAATAATACCTTTATAATTATTTAACTATAAGAAAGTATTTAATACTATATCTCTTATTTAGACTTTATAAAAGCTAGTAATAAAAGTAGAAATATTAGAAATACTTTAATATATAAAGTAATAGTATAAAAGGGGTATAATTTTACTATTAAGGGGTTCTAAATAGTTTTACTTAGTAATTACTTATAATTAATTATAAGTAATTAAATATAGTATTGCGATGTAGTAATTAAGTTAAGTTTGACCCTCATAATTGACTTAATTGCTTTATGGGGAGCGCTGTGCAGGTCTATTGCCTGATTGCAGATGCCACTTTTATTTCGAGGCGGGGGTCAATGCAACGACGAATGCGCCGTCCGTTTACCAACTAGCTCACAGGTTCTATTTCATGCGCCGTGGGCCACGACACGTTGACACCGTCACTGAACGCTTGTGATAGGTGCTCCACTCGGATGCACAGGTGCCAAAGAGGGTACCTCCAACGCTGGACACCCTGCAAGGTTAGGTTTTGTTGTCTCTTAGCTGAACTAGCTGGTCACGAATTCCGACGATGACAGACCGTCCTGCCAAAAGAAAGCGTCTCCCGGCTGGTGAAACCAGAAAATGGATCTGTTACTTCAACTCATCCTGGTCGAAAGTGGCACTGATACCGTACGGATACACGATATGATTTCCGGCCAAAAGTGACACTTGCTGCGGGTGATATGTCATATCCCAATAGATATTACGCGGGAGTGTGGTGGGAGCCGGAGCATGCTCAGCACCCGGGACCACTAAGGCATGCAAGCGCATCCAAATGCGTGACAGGCGTGATAAGGCTCGGCCCACCACCTCTACCAGGGATCGTCAGTAGATGAAGACGTCCAAGGGCCTAGATCAAAGATTGATGCGTTCTATGTGATGAGTAGGCTGCCACTGCTGCGGATACTGGCTGTTGAGGCCTGCTTCCGGCCAAGAGAGCATGCAGATACTTCCTCTTGCCTCATCCTACTTAGTGCGGATCAGTGCCCATAATACGAAGGCTAGTTGAAGTTTTCTGATGAAACGCTCCAACATCACTCGCAATCCAAACTGTACCCTCGCAGAGGCATTTTTGATGAGTTGTGCGAAATCGCATTTACAAGGAGCCTTGTTCGCAGTACGGAAGAAGAGTGACATGGGTAGTCACAGCGAAATCCAAGTGGTAGGGATCATGTAGGTTCTGGCTTACCTAGTGTTGTTATCTCTTCTCCCTAGGACGTATCTGAACAACAGCCACCACTCCTTACGCCTCTCCCTAGAGGCACTCCGTACCCACGCACGCAATTGAAATGGAACCATAACCGATCGATTCACGGCGCTGAACTCCAGGGATTTTTGATCATTCAGGATTCGGGATGGGCCTCTCTTGGTGTGCCCGTAATTGGCATCGCTATTATGACGCCAGCCTGGGCCGCGGGGGTGGGAACCCCGACTGCAGGTATCAGCACTCACCCAAAAAAGCCCATCTGCATATGATCCCTGCAGGAAACCGTCGGAAGGGTGACGGAACAGTAGAATGCGGCACGCAGCATGCAACGCGCTACTTTTGGAACATAGATGTTTGCATCGGCAGCGACGTCCGGGCTTGGCTCACTCCGATTCGTGTTCCAGCCACCAGACCCCAACGAGATTGGCGTGAGGGGTTTGAGAAAGCTGATGGAAATCACACCTTTTGCTGGAGTGCCAAAGTGTGAGTCGAAGTGGAGGGAACCGTTGGAATGGGGCGCGCAATCTTCCGTTTTTGAAGGTCTGGGTACTGAACCCGCGACTAGCCTTGAACTTGATTTGATGAAAGTGCTTCAGTTGAATTTTGCAAACGGGCGGCTAGAGCTTGACTAGTGTTTCATCGCTGCCTAATCCAGTTTCTTTCGTGGATCGGGGCATGAAGAAGGGAGTCGTCACTGAGGTATGACATATCGGCATCCTGGATAGTTTCTCCTGCGGCCAGCCAAAGAGCAATGGGTAGATCGGACTCAAGTTGCAGTCTCGACGAGCTGTCCGTGGTGTTTGGATAGTGGGGTCTAAGACAAGGGTCAAATGATGCGAAAAGGCGCAATTGGAATATGGACATGGAGGTTCGAGATCAAGACAAAGAGGTCAACATTGTGAAGCTTCGTCGGGCACAGATACATTCGAGCCCTCTGAACAAGTGTTCTCTCGGTCTCTTTCACTTCCCGATGTCTCTCGGAAACACCGACTTCTGATCGTCTCATTCATCTGAGTGGAGAGAACGAAGTGACGGGTCAAATGTGAGTTGTCAAAAAATCTTGCGGGGTCCTGTGGGTCTCACACATCGCCAAGGCCTCGGAAGATTGATCCCAAGGCCCTCCTTTGCAACGGAACCAACCACGAGAGGTTGTTTCTTTTTCGTGTTTTCCACGGTTTACTTTGGCCATGGTGTCGGTCCGGTCTGCCTTGACCGGAGAACAAGGGAATTTCCTGCCCATGTATGCTGCAACTAGTGCCGCGACCCTCACCTTGTTGCCTGCCGGTTTTCGTTACTGACGATAAGCTCCTCCATGGCGGCTAGGCACAGTCCGCCTGCCAGGATGAGTGAGATAGAGCAGGGATTATGGGTATTCTACACCACTTGAGTAGAGCGCCGCGGATTTTGTTTTCCCTCGCCATCGCGCTGACTCCCCTTTCCCTTCTAGCGGAAGCGACAACAAGACTAGCAAGGATGACCACGCCAAACGGCCACAGACACGCGGAATGACGCTGACAACTAGATTTTCAAGTTTCAGCTGATGTTGTCTCCATGGCCTTTGCCGCGAGACAAGTGTATGCCCTTTTGACATCAGTTGTGGTACACACCTACAAGGGAAGGGGGGCTGAGTGACTGCACCTGGCCGAGGCATTTCCCCGCGATCTTGATCAGGGGGATCTCACTCACATGGTCATCGGCACTTATGGAGGTTGCACCATTACCCGCAGGTATGGCAGTCGGGTACACATTGGAATCGCCAAGTTTTCAAAACTGGTTTATTGTATGGAGTTGGTGGCCCGTGGCTTGACTTGTGGCTGTGGATTTTCGACAAAGGCATCTTCGGACATGATTGCGGAATGATTCAAGTTGCATGCATGACACGGCCAGCGATTGGGAATTCACACTTGGCTCCAAAACCGTTCAGGGTGTTGCGTGGAAGTAAAAGTCACATTCGCGTTGCTTGAAGGCAACTTCTCCTCAATAAATGACATTCTAAGTACTCAGCTCTACTATCAATCCGCACCCCAATGCAAAAACACTCATCAACCCGAGCAGCTCGTCACAAAGAAGTTTTGAACGCATCGAAAGCCTCGTTCTCGGCAAGCAGATCAGCATACGCTTTCTCAGCCGCCTCAAGCTCGGTTTTCTTGCCGTTGGCAACGACTCTGTGGTGGTCCATCTCCTCCTGTGCAACTCTCTGTGCCTTCTTGGCCTTTCCAGCCTCTGTCTCCATGGCCACGGCCTCGGCCTCAATGCGGTGGTTCAGGAGCTCGAAGATGGTGCGGCAAGACTCCTGCACGACCTGTCTGTGTCCATCAGGGGCAATCGCCGTCGACGCAGCAGCCTTGCTGTTGCCGAGGAAAACAGCATATTTCTTGCGAATCTTGAAGATGTCGTTCTGAAAGGCTCGAAAGCCCTCGAGCTCTGTGAGCTTTTCGGACTCGGTCGGCAAACTAGCAAGAGCATGGGCGGCCTCCCGCTCGTGTTTCTCAGCCATCTGCTGCTCGAACCGAGTCTTCTTAACAGTGGCCGACGCAATATCAACCTCCAGACGAACACGCTTTCTCTGGCTCTCCAGCTCCTCGTCTAGGCATGCCATCATGGCGTCTCTCTTGCGCTTGAAGCCGTCTGCAGCTGTCGTTTCGTTCGAAGGGGAGCATGCGGAAGTGCTAGGGTCATGTCTGCCAGAGCCTCTAGGGAACGATGCGGGTGATACAGAGTTCGGGGTCACTAGCGCAGGAAACCTGGCCGGACGATGATCGGTGATACCGGGAGAAGGGCTCGTGTCTGCCTGAGACTGGTGGCAACTAGTCAGCTGTCGTTTCCGTCAGAGTACACTGTACTGATGACACCATGTGGGTGAATGTCAACATACCTTGGGCGACGGAGTGCGAGGAGACGGCAATGCAGGGGCGCGGGCTTGCAACATTTTCCGCGCAGGTTTGCAACTGTCAGTATCTCGACCGCCCTAAGCCACAAAGCAATCAGCAAGAAAGACCCTGGTTGATACTTGGGGTTGAGAAGGGATATACCTGTGTCTTTCGAACGTTGTCAACGTCCATCGCGGAAAGGAATGGGCGGTGCAGGAAACCGTTTGACGGAGTATTGCCGACTCGGTGCGTGATCTCGGCCCTGAGCAGACCACGGACGTTGGTATGGCTGAGATTATGCGCGCAAAGCAGGTCAAGACTTTTGAGCAGGCTCAAACTCCACAGCGAGGGCGAGAGAGAGCTGCCGACGACGTCGTCCAAGCTGGAGATGTTCCACGTCTTTAAGATTCTTTCGGTGCATTCAGCCTTCTCGGCAGCGGTGTTGGACGGCGTTTGCATTGTGGGGACCCGTCTCAAGAGTGATTGGCTGACTGAGAAGAGCCAGCGGAATGGTCCGTGGGAGATGCTCATGGAATCGGATTGAGGTGTTCGCTCTACCGGGAAAGGATGGAGGGTGATTGCGGAGAGAAAAGGCCAGCTTCTGAAGTGCCGGACATCATGAGGTTGAAGAAGAACAGCCGGATATTTGAAGGGTGATGTATCTTCTCGGCTGCGTGGTGATCATAAATGACTTCATCCCATAACCTGGCGCTTCACTATTGAAGAAGATAGCTTGTCTGAGTTACTCAAAGAGACGCGTTTCGCGTTGGCGCCTGGCTTGAGGCTACTGAGAAACACCTGCGTGGATCAATGGATTCCGACTAAACCAACAGGATCTCTTTGCAGTTGCCATCCAAAGTGTTCCGGGAATCTACATCTTCAGCTTGGACTGAACGGGGCATCCGAACCTGCGTCCGTTTGAAGGTGGGGCTTGTTTGCGAGTAAGACCGCAAGGGGGCAAGGCTTTTTGAGAAAGGCATTCTCCAACACGAACCATAGACAGTAGTCTTCAGGAGAGAATCAGCTGTAACGGCGGGGGAAGCGACAGCAGATACATGTTAATGCGAAAACATGACCTTATTCCGTCAGCGGCCGGGTGGCCCGCCGCAGGCCGGGCTTTTTCGTCGGAGGAGTGGGGCCGGTCGCAAAGCCGCAAGTGATCGACGGCCGCCGATGTCCCGGCTTTGTGAGGATGAGAAGGGAAAGGCCACGCCAAAAAGCCGACCGCCCACGGGGATCTGTGGCCTGAGATTGAGACGTTTGAACCGTGTGGCTGGCTGATGGGTGTCAGGTCAGGGTGTCTGCAATGTGAGTGAGAAAGCATCGGCGATCCCAGCCATTGGTGTCTCGGATGTTGTCCCGCTCTTCCGCACCCCTCTACCGTAACGTAGGTCGGGTATTTTGGGGGGGCGGCAGCGGCTCAGTCACCGCCAGACGGGGTTTATGATGATTCCTGCTCAATATGCATGGGGGAGACATCAAGTGGGCACAGCGCTAAATCAGCCGGAGCACCCGATGAGGGGTTCGCTAACAGGCTCTTGTAGGATGGAAGGCCTAGCGACTAGTTGCATGTTCCAGCAACGTCTTCCCGTCGCCGCCAGCGATGTTCCTCTGCTGTTTAGGTGTTTGGGAGCAAACAGAATGACTACAGCAAGTCTCACTCCCTGCCCAACAAATGCGCTGCAGCCGTGATTGGACGCCACACAGGAAAAGCCCCAGCACATTCATCTACTTACCGAAACACCCCAAGCACAGCTGAGCAGCAAAAAGAAACGACGCTTTCCGACGAATGATGCGCGGGATGGGATGGGATGGGATGGGCATCCACCGCCACGGCCTCCCCCCGGGCCTCCAAAAGCAAGTTGAGCCACCATCATCAATCACCACCACACCATCACCACAACCAGCACCACCCACCCACCCACCACGAAGAAACAGCCACGCCACGAGGAGGAAAGGCGCAAGAGATAACGCCTCGGGGCACTTTGGAGGAGGCAACCACAACTGATGTAGGTAGATGTATGTAGTATATGCGTTGCCTCCGTTACATTCCATCCCGCGGCGGAGTCAATCTTGCTGCTGACCCCGCACCCAGTTCAAGTTCCCCCCCGTGTCCCCCTTGTCCCTTGATTGAAGCTCGTCAAGCCATCTCTTCCCAGTCATCCCAGTCATCCCATTTCCATCTGCGGAAATATGACAGGGAGGGCTGTTGACCGCGGGACCGGCCCGGACCTCGAATCGGCGGTCATCCTGCACATCGGTCACCAGGCGAGCGGATGAGGTCCCCATCCCCTCCACCCCCTGCACGCCAATCCTCCCCCGATGCTCGTTACTGGCTCGCCGAGGCCCCCCCGACGCAGATGGTCATTCGCAAAAACGTATCGCTACATGTTTAGCAATGTCTCATTCGCTTCTGCCCGTCGACCGTCCTTCTTTTTTTTTTTTTCTGCCCTTTCCTTTTCTCTTCCTTGTGAATCGAGGGCTCTGCCAATTTCTCCCCTTCTTCCTTTCTTCCTTTCTCACCCTCTCTTCCGAGCTCGAGGATGCGGCATCCGTCTTCTCTGGGGGAGACAACACCGTCGCTATCGGGCACCGCCAAGCTTTCCTCCTCGTCCTCGTCGCCGTCGCATGCGACCGGTAATTACTTTTCACCATAAAAGGTCCTCCCGTCAGCATGACCACGAGCCGCCAAACTGCATTACCGCCGCGCACGACCTAGATGTCCTCGTCAGCACCCATGCTCACCATCCCGCACCACCCCGCGCGCTCCGCCAAAGATGCCGCCGCCGCCGCCGTCTCCATTGAACCGCCCTGTCCCAGCTGCACCCTGCGCTCGCGCCAGACACAGCCCTACACCACGCCCACCCCGGGCCACCCAGACTACTGGATCGAGAAGCTTATCCACCTCGTGCTCGACACCGTCCCTGGAATGGAGGAGAAGATGACCGAGAGACACGCCGAGCGCAACCAGATCCTGAGACTCGTGAGGACATTTTGCGGCGTAGAGGTGGGTACGAGGTTATGTCCTCACTGTTGGCAGTCGAGTCCGGAATGGGAGGCCAGGGTCTAGTCGGCGCACGAGTAGGTACCATACCTAAAGACTATCATGAGAGGTTGAGAGCTGACCATGGTCGTGTGGCAGTTTCGAACGAAGAAGGAGGCGAGGCATCAGACCACCAAGACGTGGCTTTAATACAGTGTACACAAATCTCCAACTAGGCGAGCAATACCCAGAAACGAATGCATCAACATCTATCTGCCTCTGCGACCGACAGAAATACTCTGTTTCGTCTCAAGGACTGGATGGCGGCGTGCTGTGGTAGTCGGTCATAATGGGAGACGAGGGTTGGAGAACAGAACAGTGCAACGAGCAGGGATGCGTCAGGTGTCCTCTCATCCCCGCTCCTGCCTCGTTGCGCCTGTGATACCGCCAGCAAATAGAGGAAGGCCCTCTGTGTAGATGGAATCGCGACGGAAGGTAGTGCTCTGCCATGCATCGACCTCGAACTGCAGGCAGGGCGGCACGTACCACGTTATTGGGTCCTTTCACCGCTCTGTCATGAGCTTGCACATCTCTTCTGATATCTTGTAAAGTCATCAATCTCTGACTTGAAGAATTTGCGGCGGGCCGAGAATGCAGACAATCGTGTCTTGAAGCAATCTAGAAATCTTGTTCGTCTAACGTCCGCTCAGTACGATTCTCCAACAGGCGTGGAACTCTCCAAGGGCTCTCACTCATTGCCCAAAGAGCCCGAGTACAAATTGTCGCAAGCTAGCAAGTCCATCCTCAATTCCGTTTCCAATTCTCGAGCACCTCAGCGTCTCTTCTCAACCAAGCCCGAGAGGTCCTCCATTCCCTTTGCCACCGCTCCCACCAGCCGCTGCATTTCAGCTTCGTCCGTCAAACGTGCCACATCTGCTCTCGTAGCCTCAACGGCGGTAGACAGTGCCTCAACCTGCTCCTGTGCTTCTCTCTCCAAGACCTCTCGTGTGCGCTCTGCCGTAGCAAGCAGCGATGCCCAAGCGCCGCCACTCGATCTGTCAATGTCGATCCCGTCTGCTTCGTCTTGGACAGGCACTGCAGCTGCTATGAGCTTGTCGATGGCCTCAATATGTTGGTGAGTCTTGTCGTGCTGTTTTTGAGCAAGTGCTAGTCTCTCTTCCAAACAGCGAAGTTCCTCCTCGCAATCTCCCAGGTCTCTCATCTTGTCTCCGGTATTCTGCTTCTTCTCAGTGGTCGCAAAGGTGGACCACCGAGTGAATGCCTCTTCAAACGCCTTCCTAGTGGACATAGTCTTGACGCTCGTGCTTGGTTGGTCCCAATGCGTCGGTGCAGTGCTTTCCTGGTCTGATTCACTTGTAGTAAGCCTTGCCCGTCTTGGGCGTCGTCTAGGCAGTGATTCCGGCGACTGGTTCTCTGACGAGGCTTCAACTTGATCAAACCGTCGCTTCGCTGAGTTGTGCTGGGATGTGTCGATTTGGATTTCCGAACCGCCTGGCGAGGGGCTCATGAAACGGCTCATGGACTCGAGAGTCTGCGGCAGCATGGGTGACGGTGACATGGAGTGTCTGGTCACCGCGGTCGGCGAATCGATTGATTCGGCCTTGACCTTCGTTGCGGACGTGACAGGTCGCGACAGGTCGCTGTAAGAGAGAGGAGTCTTGGGACGAGAGCTGGATCTGGTGACTCTCAGAGTGAGATGGGCCCTCTCGTCATAGGTTGAGTCGGAGTAGCACCCAGATTCGGACTCGGACTCGGATTCCGATTTGATCTGCTCTTCGGCGACAAAGCTGGTGCTGTGATCAACTTCGCTGGCCGAGACTTGACTCGAACCGTCTTGAAGGTCGACGACGGCGTCGACGCGGGATGAATCCGACTGTTTGCGAGTACTATTGTACTCGTCGGAGATTCCAAGGCTGCGATTGACTTTTCTCAAGATGCTGTGAGTGAGCCTTGCAGGCTCTCTCTTCAAGACGGCTTCGAAAAGCCAACCTCCGTCGGCCCACAGGGTCGTAAGCTGGATGCCGCTGTCCTCGGCATGTTTCGTGATCTGGTAAAAAGAGTGTATCCACCGACGGTGGATGGTGTCGAATTTTCTCTTGGAAGATCCCGATCGGTACTTGCTGGGGAACATTGCGTCAAATGACCCCCACGCCTCCTCGAGGTAAGCGCGGCGGTATCTTGACTTTCTCTCTCCGGGCAGCTGCATGTTGAAGCGGTAAATTGGCCTGACGACTAGAGAGTCAGTTCCAAGAATGACGAGAGGAGAGCGAAGAAGGCCGAGTGAAGGTAGCTTACCGAGTCCGTCGAAGAAGTTGCTTTGGTTGCTCCCAAGTTCACGAAGTGCTGCCAAATGAGCAGCGAAAGGTAAAGTTCGGGAAACCGAAATGCAAATGGAAAGAGAGCAAGGAACACTAGCCGATTGTGTTGACGGAGAACGCGATCTGGTGAGGCAGGTGGGAAGTTTCGATTCAGCGCCGCCGTTGGAGTCTCGGAAGAGTTGCGACAAAGGTTATCTGCGGGTGAGATTTGATGCTGGATAGCTACCTACGTTAGGCAACTGCGACGGGTTGATAGCGGCTGCCAGAAAAAGGGCCAGGACTCCAGGACTCCAGTTTTGTTAGGACGAAGTTTTTACAGAATGGCAGGTACTTGCCGCAACCCCAAGTTGCTTGAAGATTAGCAGAGGAAAGAACATCAGCAAGAAATCTAGATCAAAGAACTGATGACATGGTCCATTCCCAAAAGAAGACAGTTTCTTAGGTGACGATATTTTCTGAGGAGAATAATTTATTTACACTAGATAACACTTCACGAACAGCAGCATGACTGTTAGATTTCCACTGCAAAATGACGACACTAGAAACTACAGAAAAGGATTTCTAACGAAAACAAGGAGGTCTTGCCTTCATCATTACACACGCCGCAGCCTAAAACCGCTTGGTGTAACAAAAGCTTCCAAGGTTGGCCGACTTTCCCTGAACATGAGAACAAAAAGACGGACTCCTCGGCTTGAAAAAGGCTGCCAGTATTCTACGAAGCGGTGACCAAGATCTGCCTCGATCATGCTCAATTTCGGTATGCCAGGGCCAGTCATTGAAAAGGTGCCGTCAGGAGCTGGCTGCGCATTCTGGAGTAGCAAGGGCAGGTCGAACCTTTCCACCACCAAAGTAATGTCTTGGAAACTGCTAAAAGTAGACAAGGGCTGGTTGCTGGCGGTTCCGCGGGCAAGAGCCCTTGAAAAGCACGAAACGTCCATCTCAAGATGATGGACAGTTGTTAGGAGCTCACCTGGCTGGATCAGTGGTGTCGATGGGTCGACCGATGGAAAAGGTGCCGGGGTAAATATAGACCATCCCGGACTAAAAGTGTCGACCGTTGGAAGCACCAGTGCGACTGACTCTCGTCTCCAACCGCCAATGAATGAAAGGCGCCCAAATCTTCTCTGAACAATCCTATTGAAAAGTTTACAGGCTTGGAGAGGTCCGTGGATCATCAACATTCGCCGTCTGACGTCCCCCAAATGAGGCAAAACAAGATTGCTGAAAGTGCTTAGCGGCGCTTGGCCGGTGGTTGCGAAGTTTCTCCTGTCATACTCGACAGGCCATCTAATTGGCACCGCTTCTTCTTCGACTATATCAATTATGGCATGGACGATGAGAATCACGATCTCCATGGGCATGTCTCGGGGGCCCACTCTGCCGGCAGTGTTGTTTAGTTGAAGGCGCTGACGGTTGAATATCCGGGATGATCTTCGAAGGACGCCATTATTAGGCATTTTTGTTGCTTTTGGTGAGATAGAGTGTGTGGATAGCGATTTACTTCTTATGCAATGCTCTGACAACTGGGGCTGGATGATTCCAACAATGGCTCCGCTGGGTAAAGTAGGCCTGCTACACGGTAGTCTGGGAGTTAGGAGAGGGCGCGAATGAATCAGGAAGTTGAGTCTTAATGATTTTGAAGATGATGACTATGATGATGATGACTGCAGTGAGTGCTGGGTACTCTGAGATTTATCATGGTAACATGGTCGACTGCAATTTATGATTTCCCTCGGATGGAGGGCAACCCAGCGAAATGCTAAGACAGGGTTGACACAATGGATTGTTTCTATCAAAGAATGCACTGATGTGTTATCGCAAACCACATGTTTCCGCTCAGCACATATGAATGAAAGAGACTTGATCTCTGCCTACCACTTGCTTCTGCCCTTGACGTCGCACGCTTCCTGTGGAACAAAGGTGACCAGTTGGCATTCCCAGGAGACTGGAATCTAATGGTCCGGCGAATAACGCTGCGCACAGGCAAATTAAGATTGCAGGATTACTTTGGGAAGCCTTAATACTACCGTATGCAGAAATGGCTTTCATGCTCACTCCTTTGGCGTGGGCAGGCGAGAATCAACGCTTACTTTGGTCATGGGAATCAAATCAACCCTTCCGTAATGAACTTGTCATTGGCAGAAGGTTAGCTTTGGGTTTGGGACCTATTGCCACTTACCCTGCGAAAATATGACCTTGTGTTAATAATTTACCAAGATGGTCGTGTACCGTCAAGTGATGCGGACTTGGGAGTCCGGCTGCGAGGTCCTTCTTTGGCTGAGTTGGGAGCTTAACACTGTGTTTGTGGTGACCTTTGCGACCACCCTCACAGTGCTTTCTCCGCCCCAAACAGTGCAGACCTTTTTAAACAGCAGGTGCCGTCGACGGCTCCTTCTCTTTCCATCACCATCCCGCAACTCAATCTTCTCGACCTGTCCAACTCTCGATCAACTTTCTATTCCCATTCCCTCAATCTCACTTCACTATCTACCACTTTCTCTTGACTCACAAGTCACGACCGCCGCCATGTCGAACAACTCCCCCCATCTCGTCGACCTCAGCCGCACCTCTTGCGTTGATGCGGAGCAGAAAGATGACTTTGTCTTCTTCGACCGACCTGACACTGCTATGGACTGGGATATCGTCGATGCTCAGAGCAATGAGTACGTCCCCTAGAATAATTCGCCTTGAGCTGGTGTACTGACCATGAGTCCCGCCAGTGCCGAGAAGATTTGCCAGGACAGCGGCATGGACAGCAACTTCGTTGACGGCGACAGCTGCGGGGAGATTGATGCCGAGCCTGAGATTGAGAAGAAGTGAGTTGTTTCCTTGCATCCACTCTTTTGCCCATTACGGAACCCGTGTCTGTCAAGTGCCTAGCAACTAACTGCCCATCAGCAATGAATTTTGGACAACCCGTGAGACCTGCGGAGTCACCTCGTGGAGCGACGGCATCCACCGGTGTAAGAATGAAGATGATACCTGGATCATGGAGATGGAGACCGACCTTGACAACTTATCTATTCACTCTGGCCTTTGGCATGCCACAAAGTGTGTCAATACACCGTCGCCAGCCCCCGATCCCAACCATGAGTACTCCGAGCTGCGTGGTGCTACCGAAGGTGCAAAGAGCACCGGCACTAGACGTTCGATCCCCATCTTCTTTCTGGAGGAATGCGAGTTGGGCAACGCTCAACCGTTTTACGCAGACAACGACGTCACACACACCGAGCAGGCCGCGACCAAGGACAAGTCTGCCTCTCCAAGCAGAATCCCACGCTTGACCAAGACCATAAGCCTGTCGAGCAACACCGATGTCTCGCCCAAGACTCTGGGAAAATCCAAGACTTGGTCGTACTCATACTTTGCCGGACATCGGGCGCTTCGTCGGGCGCTTCCTCCTCCATCTGGCGGAAGGGTCACGTATAGAAGGTGCGAGGCCTGTCTCTGAGAGCCATCTACGGAGCTACATGTTAGCTGAGGGCGCAAGAAGCTTGTCGCTTTTGAGCGGTCGGAATTTTCCCCTACGATTCTTGTCTGGAATCAAACATGCGAATGTTGGTACGGCACTGTCTGGCTTTATGGATGATTTGGTGTTTTCTTTGCAACAGTTGGGGTCTTGGGCGCATGGCTACGTTATGGATTATAAGATATCGGCTTGGCGATCCGTGGGCAAGTTGGTCATGTTGTTGGTCCGTTTCTCACAGGCTGAACGTTTCAGGGAGAATCTACTTTGCTATCGTGATAGAATTGACGGGGAATCTATCTCCAACTTGCCCCCTACTTGAAACTTTCTAGGCCCTGCTGTCACTGTTGCTCTCTGTCGATGCGGCATCTGTCTTCAGTCAACGGCTAAGACTGCCCACAGCCACCTAACGTTTTGTAAACATGCAGACTCTGAGGCTTCATACGTCAAAAGATCAATAACTGTCCGAGTACCTGCGTGCCCCTGCTGCGCTGCTTGAAGTGATCGTGTCGCACGCCGTCTGTCAAGTAATAGTCATGGGAACCAGTGGGCAATGAACCACCGACACAAAAGGCGTTTCTAGCACTGCTCACCGAATGACCTCTGTGGCGCCGGCGCCAAAACGGCAGGTATTTCTTCGCGTACCAAACTCTTGGGTCTTGACGCAATTCTCTTCGTGCTCTCCAGTGAGTGGAGATTGAGTGGTACCAGTCGGGTTCACGGACCTGGAGAGCACGATCGTGCCTACCTGGAATGAAGACCTTGCCCGACGCCCGTCAAGGTAGTTAGTTGCCTGGGCACCTGAACGGTTCAGCTGTGAATCAAATTTCAACAAAGTTTCAATATTTTCATCTCTCGGTCTACTTGAAACATGGAAAGAAGGACATGAGAATAATTTATTTCTCCCATCTCCATCCATTCTAGTGCTTTTCCTTCTCATCATACCTCGGCATCGCCAACCCAAAGCGAAATGAATTGCTATCCATTCACCAAAACCTTTCCATCCAACATGGACCACGTCGGCAACTCCGCTCACCACACGAACGGCTGTGTTGATAGCAGTACACATACCAATGCCAACACGAACGCGAGCGGCGATGCGGACACCCACAGCAGTGCAACCCCCAAGACGAATGCCGCAGACGACAAGACCTACAGCCTGTGCCCCCGGGTGTACTTTAAGCAATTCCGAGAGGCCTGGATACCCACCGTCACACCCCATATGAGGACGATTGAATTCTACTTCCAATACCAACCTCTGACACCAGAAAGATACAACCTCTACAAAAGATACCTCGACGCAACGCATGGTGTTAGCACCGCCATCGAGCGAAATATGCACAACTGGTGTCAGGAGCAGCTGCGTCAAGGCAACCGCGTCTCTCGTCGTCAGGTCTTGGCGAATATCCGGTCCACATGCAGAACGATCGACGAGCGCCTGGATATCCTCAAGGCGCAATTCGACTGGGAGATTATGGATCTCGAAAGGGCTGAGGCTGAGAGTCTGAGGCGCAGACTTGAGAGTCGCAGATCTAGACATGAGGGTTGGATGTAGACATAGATACACCACTTCTTGGGTGAACTTTGCAATGAATCAACGAAAACAAATCAGCACAGAAGGGTTTACTTGGGGAAAAGTGCAGGCAACATTTTCGTCTGTCACTAATCTTCGACTATGTATAGATCCATCAATACCAGAGCAATCTTCAGCTATTGACTTTAAGTATGACGCATTCGTGCTGCAATTTTCGTCGTTGTTGAATCTACGCAATCTTGCTTACCTCAAGGTAGGTGCTTGAAAGGTAAGGCCCCTTGGTCACTGGACTTGGCGGGCAAGAAAATGAGGCCAGACCTAAACAGATAAGGACTCTGGCAAGTGACAGTCAAGCACTCCCCATCTGGTCTTGGCATTTGAAGGATGCACTTTGGCTCGCGCCAAGATTCGAAGTCGCCAATGAAAAGAGGCCGTCAACGCCCGTCAGCTGACTCCCTTTCTTAAGTACGACCTCATCTTCCTCTCCACTCCAAATATCTCGTCTCTCCCTATCATAAATTGAGCGAAACACATTTCATCGACATCGAAACTCGTAATGGCAGAGTGCAAGCTCGACGCTGTGGAGGACCTCCCAGTTACCGACGACCTCCCTTCGACCCAGATCCTTGCCGAAGCGGCCGACATCGAAGTCCTGGATCACAAAGGACAGCCGCACCTTTTCCGATCGGTCTATGACGGGGAAGAAACGTCCTCAAGGGTTGTAGTGGTCTTCATCCGCCACTTCTTTTGCGGGGTGAGCTCCGGCTTTTTCTTTGATTCGTGGCGGGTACTGACGTTGAAAGGCATGTCAATCGTACACTGAGCTCCTCTCCTCCACCGCGACGCCTGCTCTACTTTCTACCCTCCCTGTGTCCACCACTTTTGTCATCGTCGGCAATGGCGAGCCTGCTCTCATCAACGAGTATGCAGAGAAAACAAAGTGCCGTTTTCCAATCTTTACAGATCCCACAGGGAGGCTCTTTGATGTGCTGGAAATGGCCAAGACCACGGCTGTGGGTGCCAGAACAAGGTACTCGCCCGAGAGATGGCTCTGGCACTTTGTAAACGGGCTCTGGAATATCGTGACTCAGTTTTCGAAGCTTCTCCTGGCCGGGAACCCCATGCGTGTTGGCGGGGAATTCGTCTTTGAGTCTGGTGAGGCTGGTAAGGTTGTGACATGGTGTCATCGGATGCGGAACCATCGAGACCATACCGAGGTTGACGAGCTTTTGGCAGTTTTGGGTTTTCAGACACCAGGGGACGATGGGTCGAGCGAATAGCTTCTCGGTCCCATCCCTCTCAACAATACCGTATCGTCAATAAACCGGCGTGTTGGGTAGCTTTGGTTTCCCATCACAGATTTGAATCTCCAAGGGTGACAAGTGTAGAAACTTGTATTCCATTGTAGCAAGCTAACTTCAATCTCCCTTCCCAGAAGGCAGTGGCATGGTGTACATCTTTGAGTAACTACCCGAGATACTCATGATCCATCCTGATTTTGAAACGAGCAAACGAGGGCTCGTAGGCCATCTTGCCGAGTCATTCCTCCCAGCTCGAACGTCTTGCCAATTTCGGTCCCGATGCCCCCTTTCCTTCAAGCCCGATCCAAATGCAGCATTACATCCTTGAACACAAAGGCTCTGTTAGAACCAGACCACCTCTCCAAGATATTTACTCACCTAGTTCTTGCCATTCTGCGACTCGGAAGACTCAGGCACTCGAGGATCCGGGTTCAGGTACCGAATCCGAATGCCATACGGCGTCCGGAGAACCTCCAAGATGGGCTGCTCATCGCCAAAGATGCACTTGCCCAGCATCTTGACACCCTTCTTCTCGAATGCGGGCCACATCGTGATGAACGCCTGCTCATTATCGTCGCGCCACTGAGTTAAAGAATCAAGCAGGGCGGGTATCTCAATGATGTCGGGGGAGCGCGGGCTCAGATCATCCTCTACGACGCCTCCAAAGTCGACGTTGCAAATGATGCTCTTGAGGTTGGGCAGGGTAAGCAGACTGCCAACGCCTCTGGGGTTGTCGCTGGCGAAGAAGCCAGGTGTGTTGAGATGGATCGTGCGGATACAGTTGAGTACCAGAACCGCTTGCGGAGGCGGTAGAAGAAGGTTGTTGGTGAAGATGATGTTGTTCAGGCAGTCGGGGTAACCGTAGCCCATGGTAGACTGGGGCCTGAACCTGTCAATCTCGGGAAGGACCCAGGCGTCGACGATGAGGTTCTGGGCAAGGTCTGCCGTGACCACGGGAAGGCGGATGAAGTGCTGATGGACGAGGCCGCGTGTGGCCCGGCTGATCTCGAGGGGAAGGTGGATGCTGTTGAAGCGGCACTTGTGGCTGTCGTACGTTTCAGGTGCTGCGTGTTCCCTGGCGTAATCGCGGAGGACGAATCTGGTATCAACGCGGGCGTCGTAGCTGAAGCACCACAAAGCCGGGGTCTCTTCGTCCTTCGCGTCTTGAATCAGTTGATCGATGATGAGGAGGAAAATGTCGAAAGACAACGACCGGGGGCCGGCTCTGCCGGGAATATTCTGGAACACAAAGCTGTTAAGTCTCGGTCGGCGCCGCATAGGAGCTTGAGTGGTTGCAAAACGCCAGTCTTGACCGTTGACCGCCATTTTTGTCGTGTTTGCTCGAGGTAGTGAGTTGCGAAGGTGATTTGGCAAAGCAAAGCACGAGATCGAGGGCTCAAGCTTTCGAGGAGAATGTTGAATCAGAGCAGAGCCTTTTCGAGAGCAGTTGCTGGTGTTCGAGCTGGGGAGTTCACCTTCCGCAGGAGGAGATTCGGTTTGGAATGGGAGTTGATGTTGAAAGAAGATGGAAACCACTCTTGTTAGTCGTCAGTTCTTGGAAAGCAAGAGTTCGTACTTATCGATCCGGAGTTTTGCGCTCCCTCCAAAGTTGTAGGTGAGGTGAGAGGTGAAAATGGAGGATTGCTGCTGAGGTGTTGTCTGAGGGACTGCAGACCAACGAGAAGGAAGGAAGACCCAGATCAACTAAAATGGAAGGGGACTGCAGACCAACGAGAAGGAAGGAAGACCCAGATCAACTAAAATGGAAGGCAAGATATTTCCCCAAGACCAGCCAGGCTCTTCTTTTCTAGAGGAGCGTCTAGAGTCTGAGTTTGAGCGGGCTCGAGACAGATAAAAGGTCATGATAAGGCCCACTGCAAGCCTGAGCCAATTGAAGAGTAGTGTGGAGTTGTGAACGAGGCAGGAAGTCATAAAAGGGGGATGAAAGAAATGGACACTGGGATGAGCGGGGCTCCATGCATACTTGGACAAGCGCAAACATGTTTGGGATCATGGTCTGGGACCAAGTAGGACAAGAATTGCTTTGTGAAATACTGAAGCTGGTATGTTCTCAAGTTTTCAAGGACTTGATAAACGGGCATTTCTCTGCAGGATCTTCTCTTCGAGAGTGACATTGCTTAAAATACGCAGGGCATGTTAACTGGGCTCCTTAAATGACAAACTCAGAGACCTGCCTTTGCCGACGTATCGATGCCTGTCTTTTGAGACTTCGGCAACATCAGGCAGCGACGAACCTTCTCTTGTCCTCTTTCTATGACCGCTTTCCGTTTGCTGTTGCGCCGTGGACATGAGGATTCTGATGCCAGGTCACTGAATGATCACCTCGGTCGGTAGTAAATCTACGTGAATCGCCTAGAAATATACACAATTGAGAGGGAGATTCATTCAGTTTTCCCAATTGCCACCATGATTAGAATGTGGAGTACCAGCGTTCAGAAGGTCAGATTCAAAGACCGTCGTAGATGGAGGTCAACAAGTCAGCGCTGGCTGGAGCGGATGTCGCCGCAAGAAACGTGTGGTAAATACTCATGATTAATGTCATGCACGCATAAAAGCGTCCTGGTGTTCTTCTCACAGTACTCAAAATCAACACATTGTTACCGAACGCTCGGGGTTCGCATGGTTGAGCTTTCTCACAACATGTTGTTGAGCTCTGATGGCAGCCTCTTTTTATGGGGCTTATTTTGAAGAACGCCACGATGACAATTCCCTTGGCGTACATGCAAATGTAACCAACACGCAGACTTTTGAGGGGCCTCCTTGCCACTGTGTTTGGGGATACCGACGGAAATCAATAACCCCTCCATGCGGGGTTAGTCTCAGCACAACGCCGGTATGCTCGGTAGTTCGGTTAGATTGAATGAAGATCAGATGATGTGACGACATAAACAAGAATGAGCCGCCTCGTTTTCAGAGGGCATTTTTCTCTGAAGAACCACCTGCCCCGAGGGTTCCGCAAAAGTCCAATATCGCCTCGCGCAAAACCAACTCGTGTATCTCACTTCCAACCCTCAAAATAAAATGGCGTTCCCCCTCAAGCAGCCCAAGACCCGACAGACGGCCTGTGGCGGTGATCTCCTCGCCCAGTCTCTCGCGCACCTTGGTGCAACTACAGCATTCGGACTTCACGGTATTCTCATTGTTCGCGATTCGGAATGAAGCGCTAACAGTGCGAAGGTGGACATCTCGACCCCTTCCTTGTCGCCGCTGTTGAGGCCGACATCAAGCTCATCGACGTCCGACATGAGACCGTCGCTGTCCAGGCTGCCGAAGGCTGGGCAAAGGTCAAAGGCAACAACGTTCCTGGTGTTTGCTTCTTCACTGCCAACTCGGGCTTTGCCAATGCCTACCCCGGGCTGTGTACCGCCTTTGCCGACCGGTCTCCCGTGTTCTGCGTCACCAGCTCAGCTCCGCCCCGCGATGCCCACACCAACGCGCTGCAAGGCTTCCATGATCAAGTCACCCTGTCGAAGCCAGTGACCAAGTTCTGTTATCAAATCACCGAAGTCAGCGAGATTCCCCGGATTGTCAGTCTGGCATGGCGAGCGACCACTTCGGGCGCGCCTGGACCGGTCTTGGTGGACATTCCGATTGACGTGCTGTCGACGCCCGTCGAGAGCATTTCGTCTGGGGGACTTCTTTCCGGCTTGTCGTTGAACCCTGCTCCTCATCCTGAAGCGATTGAAAAGGCACTTGGGCTATGGAAGAACGCAAAGCGACCTGTTATAATTGTTTCCACCGGCGCCGCCAGCGCAGTTGAAAATGTCACAAAGCTGGCAGAGGCAACAAACACGCCCATATTCCACTCGCCAAAGTACTCAACATCCATCAAGCGTTCTCATTCTCTGTTCGGCGGATCAGCCACGCAACTTGCGGTCTTACGCTACCTCGGCGGTCAAGTCCCGGACTTTGTTCTCTTGCTGGGAGCCCGAACGGGTTTCTTGATGGATGGTAGAAGTGGCGGAATCATCCCGAATGAGGGCGAAGCCAGTGTTGTACAAGTCGACCTGGACGGCGGGGAGATTGGGCGATCTCGGACTATTGACGTACAAGACCCTCGTCTTCTCGCCAGAATCTTGACTAACATAACTTTCTTAGGTCGGCATTGTCGCAGACGTTGGACAAGCGGCAGATGCGATGATAGCCACAGCATCAAAGTCTCCCTTCAAAGCAGCAGATGACTGGGTGGAGAAGACCATGGGTCTGAAGAGCTCTGCCGTCGCCTCAGCCCCGAACGAAAAGGAGCCTGTGATTCTCCTAGAGAACAACAGGTTACATCCATATCACGCCGTGAAGAAGTTGTTCCAGTCGCTGCCAGAAGATAGCATTGTCTGTGTTGATGGCGGTGAGGCTGGTGGATGGGCTCTTCAGTGCCTGAACGAGGCCAGACCCCGACTGTCCATGGTGACGACAGGTTACTTGGGGTGCCTTGGGAATGGCTGGGGATACTCGCTAGGTAAGTCATTCGGCTCCTAACTCAGTTCTACACGCCGGCTGACAATATGCAACAGGTGCTGCCGTGGCTTCTCCAGACAGTTTGGTTGTCAACTTGCAGGGCGACGGCAGTGCAGGCTTCCACATCGGCGAGCTTGACACGTACGCCAAGTACGACTTGAACATCCTCACCGTCATCGTCAACAACGCCGTCTGGGGTATGTCTCTGGCAGGACAGGAGATTATCTACGGTGACAAGACCCCGCAGCGGCCTTGTATTGCGATGAACCCTAAGGTAAAGTACGAGGTCGTCGCGCAAGGCTTCGGCTGCCTATCTGCCGTAGTCGATGTCCATCGTGATGACAGCTCTGAGAGTGATGGCTCCAAGACGTTGGAGTCACTGAAGCAGACTGTCGGTAGTCTGTCAAGCTCCAAGGGTCCAGGACTGCTCAATCTCAACGTTTCCGATGTGCCATATCAAGCGACCACCAAGGCCATGGTACGTCACCGCCTTCCGTCAAAAATAGTTTGCTGACTTGAGTTCCAGGTTGGGCAAAGTGATGACCCAAATATCATTGTCATCCCTTACTATGACAATGTGCCTAAACCGTATTACAAGGCTGGACCGCCCAAGACGGCGAATGGCAAGGCTGATGACAGCTTTGTTGAGGGTCACGGAACGATTGGATGACTGGGTTCAAAAGGGAATTCCTGTAAAATTTAAGCTACGATTTGGGAAATAGCAACATCATGTTGAGCGATACTTGCAAATAGGTGAACCTGAGTCCACCCCCTCCAGCGACCCTTCTCTATTGCTGCTAATTCTCATCGTCTCCGTTCGAGCTTACTTCCTCCTCAGGGGTCCTCCAACTCTTGCATCCAGGAAGAAGGATCCTTGGGCTGAGATCCCAGGGGTGAGGAGCACAGACAGAACCCCCTATGCCAACAAAAGGTGAATCGACGGCAGCCGAGTTCGTCCATCTGGACCGGAGAAGTGGATTTCTCGATGATTTGCACCTCAAGACCTCTTTGGTCGGCATTTCCCCTTTGTTTCTTGGCTGTGGGGGCTCTAGGGGTATCTCTTGCCCCGTGAAGTTGCTGGCTCGCCCTGGCCCTCTTCTCTGGACCCCTAGACTCGTGTGACACTTCTAAGGCCTTGCCGAGTACAGGGACGGTCTCCAAATCGAGGTCAATAACCTCGTGGTCATTAATTTGGGTGGACTCTTGGTTTGCATCCGTCATTGTGTCGCAAACATCATTAGGCGAGATACCTGCCAGGTTTCCTGGAAATTCCAACAGAAAATCCTCTTCTTCTGAGTTGTACACATCTGCTGGGCTAGCAATTCTGTCGCTTCTGAGTCTCTTTGTGCTGCAACGTGTTTGTAGCGGTAGAGATTCGTCGACAATAAGATTTTCGCCGTCCTCGAAAAAGATGATACAAAAACTGATACCGCAGGCTTTTCCGAGTCTCTCGACAAACTTGACACAGGTCCCAGGGCGTTCTGGCATACCGCAAGGCCCTCGTGAAACATGGACTTCCAACTCCAGCGGCAGTGTCCTTTCATGTTCGAGGCAGTTCTTTAGCTGGGCTAGAGTCTGCAGAGTGATTTGATCTCTTGGGATCTGGTAGTGCTGAAGAAATGCGTGTACAGCAAAGGCGGTGAGCTTCTTTTCGCAATGAGCTGCTGCCCAATTCCCTCTATCTTCCTCCCTAGCCTGGCGCCCATAACCGTCGTAGAAGGTTCGCATGTTAATGTCGAGGAGTTGCGCAAGGGTTTTAACGTGTTTGGTCCACTTGCGTGAGCATAGCCCAAAGTCGTCGATAGCGGCGCGATGAGGTCTGAGCTTGTCACCACTTATACAAAGCTTAAGAATCTGCAAGCCGCCGTCCTCAGATTTATATGCGAGGAAACCACACGTCTTCGGTGCATAGCAAGCTCTTGCCTCGGATATCACCAGATCCCTGGTGCGGAATGTGACTCTAGCAAGCGATCTGAGTTCGCGTATGACGCCGTCGAAGTTGTGTATGTAAACTCCTTCTGTTTTACTTGGAACGATATTCCCTATGCTGACTTGTTGTATAGCAGACCTCTTGTGAAGGTTGCGCTGGGATATGACCAAGACGTCGAAACTGGGAATGCCATCTCTCATGCTCTTGTAAAACAGATACTCGGGTTTCGTTTCGCGTGAAACAGTGTCTGGCGAAGACGGCTGTGTTGTTCTCCGTTTAGGCGTCATCGAGTTCGGTCTCCAATTGGGACATGTCCTATCAGCCTTGTTAGCATACCTAGGCACGAGAAAAGATGATGAGTGACTCTTGCAACAAGGTCTACCTGCCAATTAAGCCCTCGTGACCAATGGTCGCCCAGCCACTCCTTCCTCGGACGAATATTTTGGCTTTCGTTTTCAATGTGTACCGAGACAACTTCAACGTTCCGGTGGTGTCAGCTTGTCGAGAGCAGATGAGGAAGGTAGCAGGTGGTCAGGTAAGACGACGCCAGCCGTCGACGAGCCAAGCTCATTCGCCCAGTGTTGATTTTGATACTGGAACTGCCGAAGTTATCGAAAGAAAGGAAAGCCGTCAAAAGTTGACAGGGTGTCGTGGTAGGCGATATTAAATCCCCCCAAAAGGACGAGCTTTGCAGGGAGGAGAGTTGAGTTGGTTCGGCGGCACGGGAAGAAGGAGCTATATTTGGCAGGTGGTGGGGGCTATCAAAGGCCGACTTCAAGACATGCCGCGACTTTGAATTTTGTGATCAACGTTGAGGTGCTGGGCATAAGAGCCCATTCCACGTGGTGTGCCATATGCCCAGGGTAGCCCTGACGACTTGGTCAAGACGCAGATGCCTACATTACGATATGCAAGATGCTGTCTAGTGCGCATCAAGCTTGATGACAGTTCAACGTCCGGTTTATCTCGTAAGAATATTTTGTTCGACCTTCAGAGTGAAATGATTCTGCGACCGCGATCTTTCCGCACTGCACCGGGTGGCGGCCGGTCTAGGCAGGATGTGGGGCCGAATCGTTAGCGGCAGGCACCGACGGCGCCATTGGCCGGACATGGGTGAGTGTTGCCTGGCGCCTCTCTCCAAAGTCCCAAACGCTTGTGAATTCCTTCGAGGAACGACGAAGACGTGAATCTATAAAACGGCAAGAACTGATGTTGTTGAAAATGGCACCCAAGTCTGGAAGTATCAACACATTCTTATTTACTGTCTCCTGTAGTCGGTGATTCAGCTACAGCCCACGACCGCCATGGGCGCATCATCACAACCATCCTTCTGTCTCCTCACCCAGGGTCCTCCCGAGATTCTGCACGAGATTCTCTCCTACTGCCAGAAAAATGACCTCGTCTGTCTTTCTCTGACATCGCATCTTTTCCGAGACCTCACACGATCATTAATTCCCGCCAAACCTTCTTTGGTTTCCTGCGACGAATCCCTTACCGAACAGCCACGGCTAGCTGCATGCGGCCAGCCCATTGGCGATGTTGCTTACCACCCCTACATGCACCGTCGGCGCCGCCATCATTGCTTCCTGCACAGCCGAGAGACTTGCGCAGAACCGTGGTACTGCCCACGGTATCCTCCTGGTCATAGAATTTGTCATAGAAAATGGTGCTCACACTGCGAATGCATCACATGCCCTCTGTACAAAAGGCTTCGGGAATGGGCCGGGGATTTGAAATACTGCACCATCTGCAGCAAGTTCACCAAAAGGGAGACAACCAAGAAGTACAAAGGAAGATGTGAGTTCCTTGATTTCGGTAGTCGGCACTTGCAACCATGGCTAATCCCAAGTATCCAGGCCTCCACGGTCGTCCCAAAACCCGCAAAGCTCCCAATAATCACTGGACAGCGAAAAAGGGCCAGTCGTATGGCTACCGCTGGTGGAGGCGATGGGGGACTTCTGGCGTGGACTCTTGGGCTTACAATGAGAAGCCAAGGACTCCCGGTCAAATGATCAACGCCAGAGTGGTTTAGTCGGAGTCGGATCATGACAAAACGTGACCTACTGTAAGATATTTCATTGTAGAATCCTAGCAAGCTGTTTTGGCTTTTTCTTGTTTCATCATCCAAGATTTTCTCCGGCACTCTTGAAGACTTGCCTAAACTTCTCCGGCACATCATACTTGCCTAGTACCAGCTCAACGAGCTTCAATCCCTTTGAGGCACGGAAACTCTCCGTATCCAGAAGTTTATCCAGCTCGCTCCACGTCTCAATCCGATGACACTGCACAGGATAATCCTCCGGCGCCCCGAAGAACCTAGGCGCGTCAAGATACCGCCACGGCGCCAGGTCGTTGTAGGGCTCATCCAAGCCGTGGATGAGTCGTTCATAGGCGTATCCCTGGTTCTGTATGACGAAGATTGTAATGTCCAGCCGTTCGCGGACTATGGTACTGATCTCTTGCACCGTCATTTGTATATTGCCGTCTCCGTCAATCAAGATGGTCTGTCCCTGCTTCGCGCTGTCGCGATATCCAAGACTGATGCCCAGTGCCGCAGGCAGCATGTGGCCGATGGAGAACCACATGCCCGACGATACTGCACGCGCACCATGGGGCAAGACCATGTCACGGCCGCCGATGATGGGAGTTGCATTTCCGAGGATGAGTGTATCGTAGGGCTGGAGGTATCTGTTGAGCCGTTGATAGAGTCCTGTCTGTGTGATCGGTCTCTCTTCCCGTTCTTCTAGGGGCTTTGACAGTTTGCGCCAGTCGCCGAGAAGCTGTACCTTTTCGTTCTCCGCTCCCGGTATTCTTAGTCCTTCTTGACGAAGGCTACCACACATGTTGGTCAAAACAGCTCTGGTATCGACGGTCACTCCATCAACGTTGTCTTTTCCGAGGACGATGGTTTTCGCTGGCTCCGGAAGAACCTGCCAGCCCAATGTTTGGGTGTCGGAGAACATAGGACCCAAAGCCAGCACAACATCGGCCTTCGCCAGGTAGGGTAGCGTGTCAACTGCTCCTACAGGTCCAGAATGTACACCATAATAATTCGGAATGTCGTTGTCCACCATGCCGGCCCCGGAAGGCAGACTGAGCGTCGGAATGCCGGACTCCCGGATGAAGTTGTTGATCTCCACTCGAAACTCTTGCATCCCCATCCCGCGATCCACTAATAACAGCGGCTGCTTCGCAGACATCAGAAGGTTCAAGAGGATATTGGCTTGTTCCTTCGCAGCGTGTCTCGTGCCAACTTCGGGAATCTGTAGATCGTCTCCAAGCCGAGCACCGTCAACTTCTACTCCGACAAGGTCGCTAGGAAGCTCGATATAAACAGGTCGACTGTGCCGTTTGGCTTCGCCGAGAACCCAATCCACCATCTCCGGTGCTGTGTTCGCATCGTCGAGCTTCGCCTGTGCCGTCGTGACCTTTGCAGCAATTTCGCTAAAGACGTCTAACCTAGTTGGGTCCGCCAGCGTATGGTGCAAATATCGTTGCTCAAGTTCCGCCATGTGGCTCATCTTCTTTTGCAATCTCGTCGCAGGCGTGCCGACAATATGCACAACGGGCACATGCTCCGCATAACTGCCCGCGATGGCGTTCAGGGCCGACAACTCGCCGACACCGTACGTAGTCATCAGGGCGCCAAGACCCTGCGTTCTCGCGTAGCCATCGGCGGCGTATCCGGCGTTGAGCTCGTTGCAGTTTCCAATCCACTTCAGTCCGGCAGGCTTCACGTAGTCTTGTGCTCTCAGGGTAAAGTCCCCCGGGACGCCAAACAGGGATTTGACATTTTGTTGGGAAAGCCGCGTGAAAAGATAGCGTGCGAGTGGCACCCTCTGGAGAAGCGGCATGTCGGTGCTTTCGTCTGTATTTGGGGACAATGTTTCGGAGCACTCTTCAACTCACTGGCGGAGAGGGGCAAGATCGGACAACTGTCAGCATTGTGGTCAATACCAGGTACCCATGCCGACATCGGCTGGAGGAGACAAAACTCCATCAAATGACGTCATTGCTCACTTGGGGTTTGTTGTTGACGAAGAACCAATTGCCATGTCTGAAGGGCGGGTATTCGACTTTCGCGATATCACTTGATTTCCCGGGCTATAAAATTGGAGGACTTCGTGGAGTGTCATTTTAGTCTTCCCCTCCCCCCTTTTCTTTTTGCCTTTGTTTCCATTTTTGTTTGAATTCTCCCGGGCAAAGACCTCTTGATGACAATAATGAAACTTGTCTTTGAGGTTCAATAATTAATATGAGATGAAGGTGCAATCGCACGCGGTGCATGATGTACAAAACCTCGTCGATTTCACCCTCGAATTGTCGGTAGCTCCCTAGGTATGTTGTTGGCACCATCAGTAGCATGGGGCTAGGCCGAGCTTGGCCGCCTGGTTGCCTTCGGACTAGGCAACCAACACCAGACAGTACCATAAAATGCCCTCCATGCTGCTCTCACTGATGTGCTCTGAGTCGAAACTTGAGTCACACTAAGCCGACATGTCTACTTCAACTACCACATCGAGCAATTTAGACCCGGCGGCGGTCGCTGACTTTCATGGAACACTCAAACAATCGAAGCGCATCGTCGCCATCGTCGGTGCAGGTCTCTCGGCAGCCTCGGGTCTGGCGACGTTCAGACAAGCCAGCGGACCATGGACGAACCAGGACATGACACAAGTCGCATCGCCCGCCGGGTTTCGACACGATCCGGGCATGGTCTGGCAGTTCTACACCTATCGTCGACAGGAAGCACTTCGCGCGAAACCAAACCCAGCTCACTACGCCTTGGCTGAGCTTGCCCGCCGACTTCCAGGCTTCATCACTCTCACCCAAAATGTCGACAACCTGAGTCAGCTTGCCGGGCATCCGGCTGATCAGATGAAAGAACTGCATGGGAATCTCTTCACGCTGTCTTGCTTCGACAAGGACGGGTGCGGGTATGTCGAGCGTGACAACTTTGAGACATCTCTTACCCCGGCACTTGACCCCTCCAAGGACGAGCATGCGGCTATGGGAAACATCGACCCCAATAACAGGCCAAAGGCCAGCCCGGTTCTTCTTGCCGGCATCGCTCGGAAACATGCACAGATCCTTGGGGACAAATACAAAGAGGAAACACCAACCATCCAGGACTTGACCGCCCTCAAGCCGCCGGAACAGCTCACCGCGAACCCAGTTGCCAACGTCCGCTTGACGTCCGGGCTGACCAAAGCAGACCTACCGCAATGCCCCAAGTGTAAGACCAACCTTCTCAGGCCAGGCGTCGTATGGTTTGGCGAACCTCTGGCCGTCGAAATTGTGAAAGAAACTGAAGCAGTCTTTGACGATCCTGCGCCTATCGACCTCTGTCTTGTTATAGGCACTTCCAGTTCCGTTTGGCCCGCTGCTGGGTATGCCGAGATGGCCAAGAAGAGAGGCGCGAGAGTTGCAGTCATCAACATCCACGCCGACGATGCAAAGGGTACTCGACCGAACCAGGATTGGGTATTTGTTGGCGACGCCGCTGTCGTTCTACCGGAGTTGCTGAAGCCTATTATTGGCGAAAATGAGACGTAGGATATTCGGAAAGATCTCAGCATATGCCTACCCAGCCCGTCCAACGATCCGCAATGAATTCCAACCCAGTCGAAATGCTATTCTTTACAGTGAAGTGATCATCATACAAAGTGGAGACGCACAACGCGCCTAAAATGTTGCTGGCAGAATCGCTAGCTGATTTTTGAAGCTTGGCAAATGAGGGAGCATTTGTATGTAATCTCCATTTCTTCGAGCCTGTTTCATCTTCTACCCTTTAAGCCCAGCCACATCCAATTTATAGAGGTTTACACTACACTATAAAAATTCTATTTATACTTTAATAAATACTTACTATATATTATTATATTATTTATAATAACTAGGAAAACTTTAATCTAAGTTTATAAGAATATTATTAATAATTTTAATAGTTTATAAATAACTTATTATATAAAATTATATAAAAAAAAGAATATAAATTTTCTTTTATTTATTAACTATCCTTAATAAAATTAACTTATTATAATTAAACTTATTAAAATACTTATTACTAAATTAATAAACTAGAAAATAAAATAGAAAGTTAACTTTATTATTCTTATAAAAAAGTATAAATAAAAGCTTTAAAATAATATTAATAATATAAACTTTAATATTAAGTCCCTAAATAAATCTAAAAATAAATATTATTACTAAATATTTATTTACTAAATTACTATATAGTTCTTTTTTAAATCTAAGAATATTAAAAGTATTAATACTTATAGATAAGAGTAAAAAAATCTTTATAAAAAGCTTAAATATAATAAAAAAATAGAAAAAGTTTAAGATAAATTTAATAAACTAAATAAATTTAAAGAATATAAAAATAAAGTAATTATAGTAATTACTATAATCCTCCCTAACTATTAAAGCTAAAAAAAGTAAAAAGGGAAAGGAAGGGAGAAAAGAAGGGGGGTAGTTATAAAAGTAGTTTATATATTAGTAGAGTTTCTAAAAAGTACACTTTAATATACTATATCACTTCATAGTGAATTCAAGCCTGTTTCAAAGACGGTTTGCATGAGCTATAATACAACTTGTGCACAAAATGCCCGTGAAGCTGAATTCAAATGACCAGGGCTGTTTGTAGGGTTGCATGGGTACGGTGTGGACCTGCTCCTCTTCCGGATGAATCGGAGGGGTCTCCCGGAGAGCTAAACAGGGGGGGCTGGCGGTGAGATATTCAACTGCCAATAAGAAGAACGACGACTCGACCATCTCATGCACCTCGCCCGCAGCCGCCATGGGCTTTCTCGTTTGCGGTGCGAAATATCCACTTGACGCGGGGTCTTTGGGCACACCGACATCTGGCGACTTTTTTTTGGCCTGAAAGAAACACAACCACGACCCATCATCACAGGGTGAACGAACACGGCTCTCAGTACCAAATCAAGGCCACGATAGCTGAGTAAACGTACAAGAAGTCGCACATAAAAGCGAATCAAGATGGAGGTGGCCCACGCGAAGTCGCTGCAGGCGTTAAAGGCCAGCGTGCCAAGCGAGAACGCCTCTCCAGAGCGGGTGCGCCTCTGGCTCCTCCAGCTCCTAAGGCACCGCAAAATTGACCTTGTCGATGGACCCATCTCCTTCGTCTGCCTGTGGAACGGCGCTGAGCTGCATTCCATGCACCCGAATCACGTCTTCGGATTCTTCATCTCCAAGGGTCTTGCTCCGCACAAGGCCAGCAACCTTGTCAGAAATATTACAGAATGTCTGGAGGTATGGGCTCATTCGCATGGAAACCCACTTCCCCAGTCCGGACCCCTTGCTGACGATGGTGGCACTGTCAAGGATTACCGCGCAAGGCGTGCCGCCTGTCGTGCGGCTGGCAAAGTCTGGGTCCCGGAGTCGGACTCCTGCCCAATTCCGGGCGCGGAGACCGAGCCCGACTTGATTGATCTTCCTTCGAGTACCGAAATCTCGAAGAGTCGGACGGCCTCGGAAGATATTGCCACTACTTTATCACCGAATCATCCTGGCCTTTTACTTGGAGCAGCCCTATCCACCGTCATCGGCTTCGGAGTGCTGGCGTGGTGGAGAGTGCGTATTCATTCATGATGAGAAATAGATGAGAACACGAACTTAATGAGCAAAACGAATACGGGAATGGAAACCTAGAAGGAAAGTTGCGCAAATTATCTCTCATTTGTTGACAAAGTTCTACTTGGTGGTCTTTCATCCAGATATATCTCAGCTCTTCGTAGCCTGGTCGTTTTCAACGGCGTGAGAAGTCGCAACTTCCATTGCAAACCCGAAAACACGAGCATACCAGCCTTGAGACCAGTAGCTTAGCTCCAGATTGTGCGGTGCTCCGCGTATGAGACTAGCGTCGACTTTCTTGCTCCCCTTGAAAGCCTCCGCATACTCTCGAAGGTCCTTTTCTGTTCCAAACCACAGCCCATCACGCTCGGCGAGGCCAATAGACAGGGAAACCTTGATTTCGGCCGCATATCTCTCGTTCCAAGTCGCCAAGAACTTGCTGTACAGGTCGACGATCTCGCGGAATGGCATGGGGCGGTCGAGAATAGCCGTGTTCTCTAACATTGCAGGGTCAACTCCTCCGGGAACGAACATGATGGCATCTTTCGCTTCTTTCGGTATCGTGAAGAACTCCGGTGGATTATCTCCTATGCGCGCAGAACTAGGATCGCGGAAGTTCTTGGTGCCGTTCCCAAAACCTGAGATGCTGATGCCGGCGAGGGGATAAGCTGGCGACGTCTCTTTCGCGTGGAGTGCTGCAGCGACGCATGCTCCAGGGGTGCCCAAGGAATGGCAATGAAGGACGATTGAAGAACAATCGTTGGCAACGCCAAACTCTTTCCAAATTGCCGGTAGGAACTGCTGATGGAGAAGCTTGCCCCATTCTTCTTGGAAAGATGAGGTCTCGGGAATGTTGCCGACCGCGGTTGTCTGTTCGTATCCCGGTCTGTCAATCGCAACAAATGGGACTCCAGTAGCTGAGCTCATATGTCTGGCGCTGTACTCGTTGACGTCGAAGTATGCGCTGCAATAGCATCCCCCATGAAGGCCAACAATCAGGGGACAGAATTTGGGTCGTGAGGGCCCGGGGCCTCGCGGTGGGATGTTGTGACGACCAGAAATGGACGTATTGCCAGGAAGGTCAAGTTTGAAGGTTTGCATGTCGTCGGTCGATGTCTATTACCTCATACAGTAAGCTTAGTACTGTCGCAGGAAACGTTCAAGTGCCGCAAAGTTGACTCACATAGATTTCCTTGCATCGGTCGGGATTTGCTGATGCAAAGAGAAAGACGAGCGTCACATGATGTTACAACTACATTTCGACGGCAATATTCGGTTTAAGCGACCACCAACAGATACCACATGTGTCCTTTTAATGTGTGATTTGACAGAAAGCCAAAAGTGCGGGCAGATTGCGTATAGCCTGGTCAAGATGGTCATCCCCGCTGCTGTGAGCTCACATTTCTTACCACACAGACGCGCAGCCTCTGGCACCCCGGTCGATATGCTTCTTTTACTGTAGACAACCAACATCACCAACACCAGTTTTCTCCTTGTTGGGTTAGATTGCGCGGCCTCGTGCAAATCCAACCAATCAACATGAAGAGGAAAGAGGGGAATGTGCATGTACTCACCTCGGTTCGTTAGGCGGCATTACCTTGTGCCATGTTTTCTCCTCCATGGACGGGTCCTTATCGCCAAAATGATGCATGTAACCAGGGTATGGGACATGGGCTACGTAAATTTCAATCCGTTATCAATCCGAAGTAGCCCATTGAGTCCCTGCTCCAACGTTCTTTGTTCTCCCACTTGATCTTCCTCCATATCTTGTAATAAACTGCTTAGACAATTGTGTCACGGTGTAGCAATAGATCGTGGTGATTTCGACCATGGTGGAAACGCACCGGGTTCCCGGCAGTCCAAAAGGGGCCTCGCCAGAACGCGACCATGTCGCAACAACGCACTCACAAACCGACGAGAACGCGCCATCAACTGCAATTGACCAAGCAGATCCACATATCGAGGCTGATGATGCGACGTCTGTGGATGGCTACGAATCCGCCAGCAGTCGCGGTTCCAGCACAGCAACATCGCTTTCTTCCAGCATCAGAGATTTCAATTTCGAAAATAGACGCCGATACCATAAGTATAAAGAAGGTCAATACCACTTCCCGAACGATGAACCGGAGCAAGAGCGCGAAAACATGAAACATCATATGATTGTTGCTCTATGTGATAGTAAACTACATAACGCACCTATCAATAGCCCTCAGAAAATTCTTGACATTGGTACAGGTACTGGAATATGGGCTATCGAGAGTGAGTGATGCGCTTTTCTCTTTCTGCTTCATCATTGTTAACGTCTAGCAGTGGGTGAAACGTACCCTGAGGCTGATGTTGAGGGCATTGATTTGAGCCCAATTCAGCCGCAATTTGTGCCTCCAAATGTTCGCTTCATTGTGGATGATGCTGAGGCACGATGGCTATATGCAAATGATTCTGTCGACTATATACATCTCCGTCACATGGCGCCATCTATCAAAGACTGGCCTAAGTTGCTGAGCCAGGCCTACAGGTAAGCCCAATTGATGAATCGTCAAGTCTTCGACATTTCTCTCCTCAAATTCTGACCCACATATGCAGGGCTCTCAAGCCGGGTGCTTGGCTGGAAATTCAAGACATAGTGCCCGAATGCAAGTGCGATGACGGCACCATGCCACAGGGACAACAGTATGCGCCCGCAAAGATGATGGATCTCATCAAAGATGGACTTGCGCAGTTTGGTGTAGATTTGAGGGCAGGAAAAAGCCACGAGGGCCGGATCAAGGCTGCTGGCTTCCAGAATCTGGTCCACGACACCAAGAAGGTTCCTGTCGGCACTTGGCCAAAGGACTCTCGCTTGAAGTCCATCGGATCTTATGCCCGCGCAGTCATCTATGACGGGTTGCATGGTAACACCATTGGGCCTTTTACCAGAGGATTGGGGTGGAATCCAGTGGAAGTAGAGGTTTTTCTTGTCCAATGTCGTAAGGAGATGTTGGATGACAGCATCCATCCCTATATCTTCTATCACTCTTACTCGGCACAAAAGCCGCTGGCAAAAGAGTGACGACTTGATGAGTTTTGATTAATTGAGTGTTCCCTTGAAGGATGAGTTTCAACACGGGGGGCTCTTTATCAATAAGGAGGACTTGGAGTCGAAACAAGTCTGTTTGTCACCCTTTCCTAAATGATTGCGCCAATGTTGATAGAGGGGTTTTTGCATTTCAAGCCAGATGAATCTTCTCAGCTATATTTGTTGTACAATGATGAAACCGAAGGCTTTGATGTCGAAGAAGGCAAAATCGCAATCCCAAAAGTTCTTGCCGATCTTCGTTGTTCTTGAAGACCGTATCCACGGTTTGCGACCCATGAACATACTTTTCTGGGTGACCTCTACGCAAAGTATTTTCAGAGACCGTCGTCTGACAATCTTCACTATTATCTACGGGTAGATGCAGCAGACGACGGAGCCAAGGGCCATGGCCCCAATTGTAATCTGCGGTATCCCGTCGACAAACGGATCAAGCGCAGAACGTCCGACGACAAAATCTGTTCTTTCATTTCACCGCTCCTCCTCGCTGCTCAAAGATTTTTCTATCTTTCTAGAAGACGTTGTGTCTCGAGCAGCTCTTCCACCCCCAATTTTGCCGAGAAACATCTTTCGTGCAGCCAAGATCCTGGCCATCAAGGCTGCACACGTACAATGGCCCACGCTGAGCTGTCATCTTCTTATCGTCGGTACAAGATCAAGACCGATCAGGCACTCGGTTGGGTGATTGCCACCGCGGGAGAGCTGAGTGGCGTCAAGAACGTTTCACAGTCACACAAAGTACTGGAGCTGGTAGACATGGCGCAGATATGCGCAGCAGCTGGGAAGATCATGCCGGAGAGTAGGAAATTAGCACTTCGAGAGGCTCTTGCACTTCGGCGTCGTTGTGCGAAATGGTTCCAGCATCACGGTTCTCCCGCAGCAAACTCTGCTCATGCCTTCTTCAACGACAAGTTGCAGCAGATTCTTGACTGCTTTCCGGCCTCTGCGACGAGTAATACGTCGAAAGGAACGACGACTCGCGACAAAGCTCAAAGCGACAACTTCTTTGCGGTCCTTGGTGACAGTATGGACATTGGGGCGGATGCCCCTGACGGCACTGAACCGAGCCAAGCGCGTGTTGACGCAAACCCCAAGCCGACTATCGAGCGTCCGAACATGGAACCACCTGCACGGCCTCTCGAGAAATTAACCACCATCGAGGACGATCATATCATGGAGCTCATCTGTCTCTTCAACGATGCTCGCGACGTCCGCAACTTCCTCAAGCGTACTTGGACACGGTACGCTGAACGGAAGACCGATCTTGTGACCGCCAGTCTGGTAACTCAGGCCTCCTTCCAACACTTGACAGATCTCGAACTCGACTTCTCGCGGGGTTATCGCTTTGGTTTCCTCGACATCATGTTTGGAACTCTGTACACATTTTGCGCTCTAGGAGAGGCAAAGCATTGGCTGGTGATGCCGACAGAGACCGAGGCCAAAGCGTTTGCGTACGACAACATGCAACGGATTATAAGATCTGGATGGATACCGACGCCTGAAATTGATGATTGGCTCATGTCAGATACGCTTGGCATGTTGGATTCCATTGCGGATGTTCTCTCAAAAGGCGGGCAGCCAACAGAAGATGCGCTCAGGCCAGTGTTGTCCAAGTGCTCGACGAACGCCGAGCATTTTCTTCCCGACACACGCCGTCTCGCTCAACTCCACATTGAGTCTAAGGCAATGCAACCATCCTTTGCTCGAGTGGATCTTCTCGCCACTCGTCTCAGAGAGACAATACAACGCACCCGGATCAGGATGAGTACCGCGGCTATGTGTCGTACATTCCTCGACCTCTACACCATCAGCGGTCTGCACTCCCTTGTTGAGTCTGATCTGAAGCAATTCATGAGCCATAGTTCCATACAACATCTGATAGAGATCAACAAGAGTTCTGGCATTCAGGATTCTTTGATGAAAGCTCATCTTGACGCTCTCTTTCCGCCTATCAACTCAGATCAGAAGAAACTCTCTGTCCGCAATCCGTTGTTTCTAGGGTCTGTTCTGAGTTCTCTGGTTTTGAAACTGAACAGTTCGGAGCTCAGTCTGGTGAACAAAAGCGGATCGCTGATGGCCGCGGCGCATTTGTACAATGCTCTTCGCGTTTTCAATCCCCAAAATATGCCGCGCTGGCACGACCTGGACATCTTGATCGAGCTGCAGAAGGAGCCTGTGTTTGCCCCCGAGCCGCCAACCGAGTTCGCTCAATGCGTGAGTAGATTCTGGATAGCTCAAGGACTCAAGCCGTCGGAGATTGTGTCAGCTCGAATGACGTCCAGAAGACTCGCTCTTGCATCTGGACGTAAATATCCAACCGAACTATATGAGAAGCGTTTGGCAGGGTTGAAAAGGGGCTCCGGGGTGAGAAGAGAGCTTCGGACTTTGGCGGAGGGGCTTGATCCCCTGAAGAACACCCCAGGCAAGCGGCGCGAGTTGCGACTGGCACCGCTATTGCAACATCTTCACTGGATGCGATGCATTACCGGTGGATGGAGGCTATCAATGGACGAGAAGACGGTACGAGGGGCTGTCGAGACTGATCTGGGAAAACGTCTCGGTCGCGGTCAATCTCCTCCCCGAGCAAGTGATCTACCCGTTGCCGTCTGGCTTGGTCAACTGGAGAAGATGATCCAAGCTGAGACACCAAGCTTGTTCTTTGGCTTCCCAGAATTGGAACAAATCGTGCTTGATAGTCTCGGCTCTCTTGTATCGACCGGGGCGGTAGCTCGCGCCTTTGAACAGCCAGACAGTGCTCTTGCGTCGTGGAAAAAGAGCATGCCATCTGATAAATCGCTCCTGAATCTGAGCATAAAAGGTGGTTGGGTTGGTGCAGGTAAGTTTCTCATCTCCCGTGCTCCGAGCTAGATTACGTTTGCTCATACCATTCTCGTAGCAAATTGGGTATCACAGTGCCTTCCGGGCTTGTAGTAGGCACACCAACACGAACCCACTGAGATCTACCTGTGCAAGGTCTTCTGCTATACCAGCTCCCAGTGCCTGCAGATTTAATGAACTTGAGTTTATTTTAGTCTAGAACTATGTGTTTTTGACACTATTAGATCGAAGAATAGCATCTCGCTTCTTATGACTTTGTCATTTGAGCAAAGTTAACCTAAGAAATGGCATCATACTGAGACACACTAATAACATCATAGCCTATTGAAATCTACTTTACCACAACGTTGTTTACTTCAGATCATGACTGAGGTCACTTTGGAATCCCAATTCTTGTTGTCTCTCGTGTTGATCCGGATTCCTCAGTCATCATGCATTCCGACGCATCTTTCCAGACATGTTCCCAATCTAACAGTGATCCCTGAGGTAGCTACGAGAAGCTGCAAAGACGACAGCAGTTGATCGCCGTGTTCGATGTTGACGTTTTAGCACAGTTCATGCAGATTCGCCTTTTCAAATGAAGTAAGTCTTTTCACCTACGAAATTCCGTAGTTCCTTCTTTTGTCGTTCTGGCCGATTAGGACCTTCCGAGTTATGTCGGTTACACCTCGATTACAGCAAGTCCTTCCCTCACCTCTTTCCTTGGAGAAAACCTCCTCGAGAGGGTATAAATTTCAGGCTTCTAGCCATCTGTCCCCTGGTTTCTTTTGTCCTCGTTCAACACACAAATATTCGTCACAATCGACCTTGTCAATACCTCAAAGGTCTCCAACATTTCTTCAGTTTCCACATTGCTTTGAAACACACACAAATCAACTTGATTTGACCTCAAATCGCAGAAACAAAACAACGCCATATTTGAACTGAACTTCGGACTTGCCTGTTCTACGTCGCTCTTGCCTTGCAACACCAAACACACAAAGTCTTCAGACACTTCTTTCGAAATCTGAGCCTTGTCTTCAAGTCGAGTCGCTCTTACCTTCCGACACAATCAATTATGGAGTTCATCCCGGCTCAAGACCTCATTGTAGCGCGATATGCAACTAAAGTCACACGAATCGAGGACTTCGCCGATCAAGATGTTAGAGGCTGGCTGACAATCAACCGTTCAGCACGAGATGGCAACATGAAGCGAACCCCATGGGCCCTTCGTATTCTTCCGGACTATGTCGAAGAGATCAACAGCAACTTCCCACAAGCTCTGATTGCCATGGATAACAGTCGAAATGTCGGCTGCCTCAACGGTATCGCTCTGCTCAACTCAAGGATCAAAATCACAACTCTTGGCGGTCTCGACCGTCCCCGCGAACTGTACCGAGCTATCCACAGCGGCCAGCCTGGCGATGGGATAAAATCGAGGCTGGGCCGTGAGAGCGACGCGGTTTTCTTCCATCATCATCTTCGACGACACTTGAGGTGGCAGAGTCGCGAGGCAAGTCCCTTTCTTTCAGCGACTAATGACCTTAGGAAGGCTGTCCGAATTGCTGCAATTTACGTTGCGAAGGGCTTTGACGATGTCCGAATCATCAGGTTCAACACCCAAGGACCTGGTTGGGATCACAATTTGAATCGAATGTGGAACCCCCGCAAGCTGGCCAGAATGTTGAGCCCGCGTGACGACAAGAAATACTTGGATAACGAGGTGCTCATTGAGCACTCCATCCCGAAGGATAGCATTCTTGAGACATACAGATGGCAAGAGCACAAGGCGCACCTGGACCCAAGCAGCCGGACTGAGGCACGCGCAAAAGCAGTCCAATTGAGAAGAGACAAAATCAAGGTGGATCGCCAAGAAAAGGCCCAGAAGCTTGGTGAGGACAACAGCAAGAAAGCTGCGGAGGAGAAACAGACGAAGGGGAAGGCCGAAGCTCAAGACAAAATGAAACCACAGCATGATGCGGAAGAATCTGCGAAGAAGCGAAAAGCCAAGGACGATGAGGGCGAGGAATCTACACCCGTTGCGACGAGACTCAAGCGGTTTAAGATTGGTCAGAAGATGACGGCAAACTCAAGCCGTTAAAGTGCATCGGAAAGTCGCAGCCATGATGAAGGGAGGAATGGAAGGCGGCGGTGCCACTGTTGGATCAATTACGGTTTTTCTTCTTTCCTATGTCTGCCTTCTTTGCGCCGTCTGGGGTGCTTCGTTCCAGGTGAAAGGGGCGCGAAATTCCAGCAGCACCTGGCATAGTCACTAGCATAATGCGATATAATAGCGCCAATTTCTATCATCATTCGTCTTGAACATGTTGTGCCACTGAATCCGACTTCATACAATGTTCGCGAAAGGCGGGTAACCATTTCGGCTAAATATTTCTCAGGAACACAATGAGAAAACATGGAGGCATGTGTAGACCTATGCGGTCTCGTAAAAGTTTCACCTCTGGTGGAATTGTAGACACATGTCACCTTACGCGCGCATACATACGCGTGTTCAGTAATGCGCAAGTCTCAAGTAGATTCGTTAAGAGCTCGCATCAGGGTCTCGCTTAAACTCAAATAGGCATATTGTCTTGGTAACTGACTCGAGTTAGGTCTGAGACGCCTGATCTTGTCCATGAAATCTATTGAGACCCTTGCACGGCTGCTTAGAAAGTCTATTTAGTGGCTATGAGACGAACTGGAAGTCTGGAACCCATCAACGAGTCAGGTTGTTTGAGATGCCTTACGAAGTAGCAGCAGTTATAAAATGTCTCCAGTGCCTCGACTTGATCGACATAGACTTTTGTCTCGAGCACTATTGGCACAGTCGTCTCATCTTGGTCACTCACTCGTTCATCCGATACACCGTCTCAGAAATGCAGCTGTCCACCCTCTTTTCAATCGTTCTCCCTCTGGCCCTGGCTTCCCAGGCAGCTGCCCAGAAGTCTTTCTGCAGAGCTGCTGTCGATAGCAGTGTGAGTAGCACTACCCTTCCGCATTCCGTCCATCTATCTGACACGCTGTAGGGCGATTTTAGCGGATGCACGAGTATTAGGGGCGTCTGCACAACTGCTTGCCCGCGCGAAGTACGTTCCTCCAAACGCGCGGTCCTTGCCTGCGATCCAGTGGAGTAAGGAAACGAAACCTGGCTAACCAGCATTCTCCCCAATAGTGCGGTGCTGCATTCAAGTTGCAGAGCGTCAACGTCGGCGAAGGTGCTTGTGCTTGCTTCTGTACCAAGTAAATGGCGCACTGAGTTATTGTTCTGTTTAAATCCTGTCATCGGACATAGCGTGGCATCTGTTATACAGTATTGGTTTTGTTATATCACCGCTCAAAAACCATCATTTGGCGTGTTCCATCAAAGTTTCTCTCTGCTTCCCGCGAAAGCTTTTACCTCAGGGCTGCTGAAAGTGGCTAGCATCTTCTCCTAAACCATTGGCGTTGCGACGGCTTGATTGGGGTCAGATCGGTCTTCCGGTGGAATCTATCAGTATGCGGTCACACTCTTCGTTCAATGTTTGATAGATGCTTTAATGGCGATTCGTCAGCCAAGTGTGGTCTGCAGCGATGGTACGGCGCCCGTCGTATCATGCATCGCTCTCCTTCAATGAAGTATTCCTTCCATACCTTATTTAAGCAAACAATCAACCACTCGTCTGTGACCTGTGTTCAGGCGTTTTGAGCGCCAGATTGTGCTTGCCGATTCCTTCAGCAGATATGACTCTGCGTGTGTGGGCTGGACCTGGCGCCACAAATAGAGAAGATGTCATGACAAAATCCGGAATTTAGTTGTTTCGATAATCCTCTAATAGGCTTGCCAAACCTTAGTAGGTTGCAGAGCAGAGATTTGGAGAAAAGAATAAATGTGAAACTGGACAGGTTTCTCTTGAAACCTCGCAGATGAGGGAACTTAAGAGAAAGGAGCATGATCCCAGTCTTGCCCACCTAGTTGATGGGAGGTTGAGGTTCCCTTAGATTCCTGACAAGCCCAAGGGAAAAGTATGATTGGCCTGTTGTTGCCAGTTAGTGATATAGCAACCAACCACCTTCCCAAGTACGGTATGTTGTAAAGGGCTTGGGGCAATGGCCGAAGTCGATAATGCATCACGCACGGTGTATGAGGTGTGAATCATCAACCAACTCAAGCATTCAGATCAAGCGGCGTACTCAGTGGCTTCACACATCTCTACTTCCAAAAAGGTCATCATGCTCAGCAGATTATCGCCGCACCCGGAACAGATTGCCAGGTCTTGCGGGATAGTATAGACAGGGGAACTCTCCAGCAAGGCCATCATCGGTGATGTGGTAGTGTCACAAAATAAAGCGAGTGGTATTTTCTTCCGATCTCATGAACTGCCTGTGTGGTTGCTTGGGAACTTTCACCAATCCAGATGCGCGCAAGATATGCTCGAGGGGGCCGAGATCATGACCTTCAGGCGGACTGCGGCAACGATCTCTTCGGTGCGCTCCATTTCTGTCTCGTAGTCAATTGCTGCGATCTGGGCTTTGGCATCTTCAACAGCAGCAGGACCATACGCTTCCAACAATGTCGGGAGAAAGTCGTTCAGTACTTTTTGCTGCTTCTTTCGGACTTTGTCCCAGATGGCTCGCAGCGAGTTTCTCAGTTCTTCGTACTTTGCCTTGCGCTCCGACGTCGTCATAAGACCATATCGCGAGATGAGAAGACTTCCGGTGAAGTTCTGGAGGGCACGACTGTACAGGTGATCCCAACTTTGTCTATGGAATTCAAGGATTATGGCTACAGCTGTTGCAGAGGTTAGTGCGGTGGCCTAGTAAGAGCAAGGGTAGACTTGCCCACTTGAGGAGATTTCGTCGCTGCCTCGATGTCCTCCGAGGTGAAATGAGGAGGGAAAGTGGTGGAAGGCATTGTGATCGGTGTGCTCCTTCACAGCTCAATTGAATGTGCAAAACGTCAAGTAGCGCAGGCTGTCGGGTCGGGGACAGCACAAACGGAGACTTGCGGACTTATCATGCTAGACCAGAGTCGGTGTGTGGGCTGAAGTGAGAGGGGCAGTGGCTTGGATTTTACCGTCAGCATCGGTAGAAATATTTGACGTAAAAAGTACTAACTTGAAGCGAAGTAATGACGATACTTGAATCCGGGGTGAAAGTTTGACTTCGTACGGATTGTTACGCGTTGAAAGTATTCTGGGGTTGAACTGATTCGACGGGAACTGAGACAAGCTGTCGGGAATGAGCGCCTCAATGTGTAGCAGCATTCAAGGGAAGGATTTTTCGCTTCAATTCCTTGTGACTTCTTTTTTTGAATCAGATATGGGGACAGTAGATGCGATTGAAACCGGTGAAGTGCGTTACCTTGGTTGACGAGGCCGAAACTTCCTGTGAGAAATCAGACGCGCTTTTGGGCTTCGGTACGGCGATGTGTCGATGCTTCGATGTAACTAGGAAGCTTCCGTGAAAGTTTCCAGGTGTTGGAGAGCTTATCGTTCATAGTCTTTAGGTCAGGCTCGTGGTCAAAATTGACTGAAAGTCTGGCTATGTGGTGAGGGAACTCGGCAGAGCAAAAGTGAGATCGAGCGCAATTTGTGGTGGCAACAATCCGCTTGAACGAATAAGGCAGACGTACGCTCAAAACTTACGATCTTGGCGTCTTCATCAAGCTCTGAGTCGCAAATGATGATTTTCTCGATGGCGAGAGCGCCAGGCTGAGAGGTTGGGTTGAGCTTACGTGGCTCGGGCGGGTATATTCTAGAGAGCGTTGCCTCTTCGCTTGAAGTGGTTTTTAGATGATTGTATTCTCTGGGAAAGAAGAGATCTCAACTTGTTTCCCAATCATTGGCCTGCTGTGTGGTTGGGCGGTAGCATTCCATGAAGAGGGTCGCCAGCTTGACTGGAGTGCCCAGGCGGAGTCTATGATCCACCACCAATCTGCGAAACCAAGCCTCCGGAGGTTCGCTAGTCCCAAGTGTAGTGAAACATTTCCTGCACTACTCACATTTCACTTAGTCATAAAGGTAAGCTCAATGCTGAAAGATTTTACCTTAACACGCTCAGGTGCAAACAAGCAAGTGCGCACAAACAAAGGAGCAAATGAGTAGGATATGGTAGAAAGCATCTAATCACGCACTTCTCCTTTAATTTCATGCAGCATAAAGCCATGCAGACATAACACACATTCAATCGTCATGTCTGCCAGTGTAGGTATGTGCAATTGATAAGCTGCTAACATGGTATGCCTGGGGATAGACGGGGTAAAAGACCTGCCTCCTTAAGACCAAGACGCTGGGAAGCACAAGTTTCTTCCATATTTTTCAATCCTGTCATCAGAATAACTACTCACTTGGTTTTACTGTTACATAAAACACTGCTCAGGTTGCCCGTCAACCTGGTGGCCCTTTTCTCTGAGTGGCGATTGGAAATAAACTACCGATAATTTCACTGTTCCAAGCTGAAAGTACTTGAATACAGCTTCTTTCGAGCCAAGTCCACGTCGAGATCCCTTGGTGATTCCGCGCAATTCTGAAATGCCCAAGTTTGCGTGGCGCCAGAAATTCGACGAGAACGGCCTCATATGACAAAGTTCGTGTAAAGAATCATATATTAGGATTTGTTTTCATGACGAGAATCGTTCGGATGAAAAACATCGTACGGACCTATCTAAGGCGTTTGTTCCGAATCCCGTCCGAAATAGCCATTCATATGGGCAATACTGCATCCTTCGCACAGCACCAAACTCCTCACGTCCCATTTGCGACGCCCAACACCTCTGCAAAAGTTCATCACTAAGTTGCAAAGTTTTCTTTGGTCTTCGTGATGTTTTTGATGTAGTTGTGATTCCGGTTCGTGCACGTTCTCGAGTACAAATCTTATGACGAAGTCTACCCAGTTGCTCGGAAAGGGGCTCGAGGTGCTGCGCTGCACTATTTGAAGTACGCACACCGGACAGTCTCCGAGATCATCGATAGTATCGTGTTTGGCTTCCTCGATCCTATCGCATTCAAAGTCAGAGAAATCGTCAGCGTAGCTTTCATAGCAGGTGTCGTACTCTCTTGCATGCATTTTGTCGATGGGATCTCGCCGTCTCTGAGCATTTCGACAAGGAAACATAGTTTCCGGACGCTTTTGGTTGTTGGTCTCAGTCATTAAATCGCCTGATGAATATGTCGCGATTATGAACTGGGGGGTCAGATAGAGGCCATGCGCGGTATGCCCTGACCCTAGCTAATCAGTTCCAATTCGGGGCTTTTGTGCCCACGTTTTCAACCCGTAAGTTTTATCTTGAATGGCAGTTCAGCCATTGAGTGTGTGGTTATTGACTTTTATCATCAAGGTGATGCCGCGCCCGGCGGCGAAAGTCAATACGGTCTCTTCGGCGGAGACCTGCTTGGTCGGAAGTCTCAGTTGATCTTTCAGAAAGATCAAGGTATGGATACTTTAAGTCACCTCAAACGCATTGGCAAAGGTGTCGCCGTTCGGTGGCGTGCCACTTGAAAACCTTTGCGCAGTTTTGGGGAACGTATGAGGACCTGGATGGTCGACGGCGTTGTCACCGGGTTGGCTAATTAATCGGCACAGACTGGACATGCTCAGCCTGAAGATTTAGACTAATCTTTCCCGGTATCGATGAGTTTCCAGAGATGAGTTCTTTAGATGAAAATTCTGTATCCAGTATGGAAGCTTGCTTCACAAACAGAGGGCTTCCCAATGCGCTGTTTGTGCAGGTGTTTACATATATTCTGTAGAGTTTTGGTAAGGTAGTTAGCTGAGCCAAACTGACGTCCACGGTCACGGAATGCATTGAGAAAGCTTCATGGAACAGCTGGCGCAGGATCATGGTACGCGTCTCTCGAGTTTCTCCACAATCGTGGGCAACCTCCGATGGCCCCGAAAGTAGCCCAACGGCTCGCACGTTGTTTACCCCGGCATGCTCCCGAAGGACCAAGACCTGCAAGTTGACCGAGATTCCCTTTACCGTTCACAATTGCATTTTTGCCCGAGTTCTCAGAGCCGCCCGGCGATGTCCGAAAAGCCGAATGGGACGTCATGACTCGGTGTTGACTCTTGGCCAATCGGGTTCCTTGCTGCGACTGAGTCGTAGAGCCGGGGTATGGAGAACACAGATACTGATCAGCGGAAGCTTGGCGCTAAAATACACTTATGCTTAAGTTTATTCCGAGTTGACTGACTTGTGACTCCCTTCCCAAGCTTGATACGAAACCTACGTAGATAACAAAGTCGAAAATGTCTCTGAGAGTCACGATATAGGGAAACCAGAGGTGGTTCGAAGCCAAGAAGATATCTCCAGGCTCTGTCCCAAATTAACACCCACCCATGCCGTGGGAGATTACGGAGCGTGGATATCCATCGGCCATACTCCGAATCTGGACAATTTCGGTCCTCTTTGGGCTACAGCGGAGATCCGGCACGCTACCCGCGAGCCTCAATTGGTAGAACCAAGAAGCTTCTCCGAGGGCCTTAAGCCTCACAAGTGGAGGAGGCTGCGTGGTGGCCCACTGCGGACCGGATCATGTTCCGCTTGACAAAGAGATTGGTGAGTTGGAACTTGGAAGGAAGGTAGGGCGTGAAAAAGCGATCATGGGCGATCCGTTTATAACACCACGAGAGTCCCGCGGTAAGCCGTGTATATGTATCATGTTGTCTCTTTGGAACCAACCTCAGTCTGTCGCAGCTTTCTTCAATTGCCCGAGCGGCGTCCATTCTCTTCTACGATTCCATTCTTCCTGACCACTGTCACTCTTTTTCCGAATCGACGAGCAGGCAGCCTGTCGCAGGTTTACACTACTTTCTCTCATCCCATCATCATGCTTATGCACGCACTCGTCGCCACTCTTGGCATGACTGTTGCCGTCTCCGCCGCACCCCCTCAACTTCGCTCTCTTGCAGCCGACGACGTCGTCATTCTCCGTACCGATGGAACCTCTCAGATCATGAAGGCTGCCGAATTCGACGCCCTCGATGCGGCGACCGTCGCTCCTGCACCTATCGACTCTTACAACCAAACTAGCGTCCCCGGTATCTCTCGTCGCGGCTGCGAGGAGAGCACCGAGGTCCAGGTCCTCTCCGACGAAGAGTTCGTCGATTGGGACGTGGCCATTTCCCCCGTTGTTGCTTCGAAAGGCAACTCAGTGGGAGTCTCAGTCACACAGGGATACAAGCTCGCCAACCGCCTCACAGTCAAACACGAAATCAAGTTCGGCGGCAAGAAGATCATCAGTGTTTCCCTGAACAAGAACTTGGATATGACCTGGACTACCACGCAGAAGACTTCTCTCAGTTTCAGCGTGCCCGACGGACAGTACGGTGTCGTTGTCAGCCAGCCCTACGTCCGCCGTGTTCAGGGCAATCTGCTGAGTGGCTGCACTGATAGCCCCACCGTTGACCCCTTTACGGTCGACACATATGAGAGTCAGGCATATGACGATCTGGCTTGGGTCAAGGGCATCATTCGTCTCTGCAGCAGCGACACTTACCCAATTCCTTACTGCATTGGTGAGGGTCATCACGAGTAAAGGCAAACATGGCTTGCGGCATGCGGGCGGAAGGCATCCTCAATCGGGAGCCAGACTAAAGCACAAGACCGTATACAACCCTTTCAAGACATCGTCCTTCAATTTTCAATGTAGATACCCAAGTCATAGAATAATTGCAGATAATTTCTGGATGATGAAGTTTAGTTGATCTAGGTGGCTAATCTACTGCGAGGCAGAATCTCTTGAGCAGCACCTATCTATCCATACTCAACTTATGACCAACTACTTTATGACCAACTATTATGTCAAGAAGCCATACTTTGATGGAGCCTATATTTCTAGAACTTCATAATCTCAAAACTACAGGCAAATCTTTTGCAATCTTTTTGGTCATTCCGAGGCTATGACTGAGGCAAAGAAGCACGTGTCAGCGAGTTTAGATCACACGACAGATGATCACAGAGTAAACGTGAGGTTGTCGTTCGAGAGCATACAGATGACAATCACATGATTACAACTTTACCCTTGAAAGACTAGTTCTGCTGAGTCCATGATGACAGGCGGCTTTCAAAGTGTGGGCAGAATGAATTTTCGGGATTGACACAGAGTACTCGCGTGAAAATCGGGGGCTCTCGTCCAACGCCGCAGGGCTACAGAACCGACAATCCGGGCCTGGCCACTTTCCATGGCCTCGTACCAGTGGGAACGAATCAGCGGTAAGTTATGCCCCCTGTCTCAGCCCAAGTCTCGCGAGATCCGTAAGCACAGGGTACCTACATGAGCAGTTTCCGTTAAACGTTGGGACTAAGATCATCTACCCCAGCGGATCACTCAATGCCAAGTCAGACGAAAATTGCCTTCCCCGCAGACCCAATCGGATGGCTGAGCTGTTATGCAAGGTCAGCGCTGAGCCGGACATCATTTCCACGGAAGGAAGCTGGGAGAATTTGTGTATGCATGTCTATCTTTATCGGCGGATTGTTGGATAATTTGTGCTTCTCCAGCACTTCTTTCATCTTCACTGCCCCCTTCTCTCATGTTCAAAGTCGTTGTTTTCGTGTGTAGGAATTGTCCAATATGCAGCTGGCGACCCTGCTATCCCTCTCCGCCCTCATCGGGTGCACTATCAGCGACAACGTTTTAGTGAAGCACTCGACTCCCAGTGCAGTCGGACGAGAATGCAAATGCGTCGGTCAACCTTGAACTTTCCAACTGTCGCGTCCTTGACCTCGAACCACTTGGTGGTCGCCACAGACTGACATTGCAGTAGGTTCCTGGAGATGAATGCTGGCCGGCCGAGTCTTTGTGGAAAGAATTTGACACTGCTCTCGGCGGCAAACTCGTCAAGACCCAGCCCATCGCACAATCTTGCTACGATGGCCCGATCAAGGACCTGGAAGCGTGCGCACACGTAGCCGAGATGTGGTCGGATCAGGATTTTCAGACATCAAATCCCATTGGCCGGCCGTATCCGTACAACATTACTTGTGCGCCGGTAGATTATGCTGCGGGTCAAGTTCCAACAAACTGTTCTCTCGGCCCATTGCCAACATATGCAGTAAATGCAACAACTCGGGATCACATTTCCTCGGCCATCGGATTTGCGCGTCAGCACAACATTCGCTTGGTTGTCGCCAGCACGGGACATGACCTTCTTGGTCGATCCGATGGCTATGGCAGTCTTGAGATTTGGTTGCGACACTATCGCAACACGATCGACTTCCAAGACACTTACGTACCTGGCAGGCGCTGCTCCAAATCAGGGTGGAACGGCAGTGCGCTTCATATCGACGGCGCGTATCAATGGCGCGACGTCTACAAAGTTGCAAAGGCAAACAATGTGATTGCTGTTGGCGGAGGTGCTGTCTCTCCTGGTGCCATTGGAGGATGGCCTTCGGGCGGTGGCCATGGACCTGCGACACGCAATTACGGACTTGGGGCAGACCAGATTCTGGACGCAGAAATCATGCTTGCAGATGGACGCATTATTGTGGCTAGCCATTGTGAGAACACGGATCTCTTCCGAGCCCTCCGTGGCGGTGGCCCAGGCTATGGTATTGTTCTCGGCATGATGATCAAGGCACATCCCAATGTCGATGCCGTCACCGCTCATAAGCTCGCCATCGCGCCCCTGCAGCAGACCGCGAACAACTCTGATCTTCTCGACGCCGTGGCAGTCCTTCTTCAGTCATATCCCGACCTCAACGACGCAGGATTTGCCGGCTACGCCTTCTGGTTCCGCAACTTTCCAACTATCTTCGTTGGCAATGCCACTTCCGGCTATTCTCATGGCTTCTGGACCATTGGAAAGACAAGAGAGGAAGCTGATGCTGGTTTCGCACCTGTGCGCGAGGCTCTCGGCAAGTTCTCAGACAGGCTGTTCATTAGCGAGAGCTTCGCCTCGTATGATGACTACTGGTCCTTTTATGAGGCAGAGTCAGGGCTGTACGATCCCACCGGCGACACCTCCATTCTCACATCCCGCATGATAGATCGGTCGGCCGTCGAAGATTACACCCACGTCCGTGAGGCTGTGGAGGTTCTCAGCGGTAAGCCGGAGGAGTTTGCGTCCAATGTCGTACTTCTGGTCTCCGGTGGACAGGTATTCGAGAATGCCAAAGATGCAACCTCGGGCTTACACCCGGCATGGCGGAATTCTTCCTACGCCCTCATCACTGGTCGTGGAGTTTCGAGAACAGCAAGCAATTCTGAGCGGAAAGCTGTGCAAGACGACATCACGTACGTCAAGGGTGCGGCCGGGAAAAGGCTTGCGCCAACTACTGGAGGTTACATAAACGAAGGTGACCGGCATGACCCGGATTACATTGAAACGTTCTACGGCGCCAACTACAACCAACATCTGGCAGCGAAGAAGAAATATGATCCGTTCAACGTCTTCTACTGCCCCACTTGCGTTGGCTCAGAGGCCTTTGTAGAACTACCTGACGGGCCACTGTGTAAGAGGAAGGCTTAGAACACCTGACATCACATCGACGTAGGCTTCAGGCTTTCAATTGCAAATGTCGCAATTATTGATCATTATCGATTATTTACAGGTGCTCAATATGTTGTAAGCTCTGGCGAACCCTCCGCCCTCGGAGACGAGAACTTTGTCTCAACGAAAATCTTCTGCATGCTGTCCTCCTTGTTCTCGAACTTGTAGTAAACCTTGCCGAGGTCGTCGAGACGAATGCGATGGGACAACATCTGATAAACATCAATGTCGTCACTTTGAATCTTCTTGAGCAAGTCCTCCCAGTACAAGTGAACAGGTGCCTGTCCGTTACCGATCAAGCGGACACCACGCTCCATCAGTGAACCGATGTTGAAATGGTTGGTGTACCCAACGTAGACGCCGGTGATACCGCATCGACCAAAGTTGCGCACACCCTCAATCATCTCGTTGACAATCTCACTCGTATCGGTCTCGGCGCCCAAGGCAATCTCGATGGTATGGAGCCAGCCCTTGGGGTATTCTCCAGCCGCGCACTCAAGCGCAACGTCCGGGCCTCTTCCACCGCAAAGCTCCTTCAACTTCGATACAACAGTCTCCTTGTTGGTCACGCCGCTCGACAACTTCTTGAAGTCAACGAGCTCCAACTTGTCCGCATGTGCCGAAGGCCACTTGGACTTGATGTATGAGAGACGCGGTTCCGTGTCGATGAAGATGACTTTGGATGCACTCTCACCAAGAGCGAATGCGCCAGCCATTTGGCCGATAGGTCCTGCACCCCAGATTGCAACCTGGTCCTTGGGGTAGACTGCGGTGTCTTTGACAGCATTGTACGAGGTGGCGAGCACGTCGGACAAGTACAAGGCCTTCTCATCCGGCACATTATCGGGGATCTCGAGGAGATTCACATCTCCGATCGGAACGCGCACATACTCGGCCTGACCTCCGGCAAAGCCACCCGTAAAGTGGGAGTAGCCGAACATGCCCGCCGTCTGGGAGCCGTACATGGATTTCTCCATCGTGTTGGAGTTTGTTCTCTCGCATTGAGACGACAGCTTTTGGCTGCAATAGAAGCACTACACAGGTCAGCTCACACTCTCCGTTACACCAGATAGTTGGTTCTCGACTCACGTTTCCACATGCAATCTGGAACGACGCGACATAGCGGTGACCAATCTTGGCCTTCTTCACAGCCGATCCGACTTGGTCGACGATACCGCAGAATTCGTGGCCGAGAATGTCACCTTTGTTCATTTGCACCACGGAGCCATGCAGAAGATGAAGATCGCTACCACAGACAGTGCTGCCAGTGACTTTGAGAATGACATCCGTCTCCTCAATGATCTTGGGCTTGGGCACGTCGACTAAAGTTGTGAGCTTTGATAATCCTTTGGTGAGATCAGATGGAGGTCACTGACCTATTTCAACCTTATTCTTGCCCTGCCATACAAGCGCCTTCATTGTGTCGCTGCTGTCGCTCCCTTTTGGGTAGTTGGTCACATCCTGGGCCGTGACGGCGTCGCCCTGATGGCCGATGGCCTGTTCAGCCGCATATGCTGCTTGTGACGCCATAGCTAAAGAATGACGCAGAAGTTTTCAATGGTATAGATGTTACAATGTGGATGTGAATTGGTCGGTCGAATTGAGTTTGGTTTTCAGGGGAACTTATCGCGGAAGTCAAACATGAAAGCCATCTTATATCTCCACGACCACGGACGGGCAGCGACATTGTAAGCATCACGTAAAGACACGGTCAATGGCCTGACCAAACCGTTGTGACGGAGCAGGGCAGGTATTCTGGTACTGCGACAAGGCGATGCGACCTTGTTTGGGCAATTGAAAAGCCCATGACGGGCGGCGGCGTCATTTTCGACGGAGAAGCGACGTCATGGATTCCAGAAGGGATCGTGTTGGAGCGGAGCTTCTGATCCTGGGCCAATGAGATGAGCCGGTCCCAGCCGAAGAGCTCGCAGCCGTGATCTAGATCTAGGTAAGGCTGAGTAAACATGCCAGAGCAATTTTAAGCGATGGACGTGATGAAAATCAGCTGTCGGCACTTGCATTTTGATGGAAGATGCGCCATATGAAGGTAAAGCTGTAAGAGTTGAGTAAGCTAGTAGAGGGGTGAATCTGAGCTTGATTTCATCTCATGTTCATACTTGGTGGGTAGTGGCTCATGCGTTCATCGGATGTCAAGAGGCTTGCATGAGACGACAGGGAGTTCTGGTCACTCAGCACCCACTGCGAAACGCAAAGTCACATTCATCTTGAGCCTCAATGGGGCTTCACTATTACTTCAAATTCAACTGGATGATTTCCGCCCGCCTCCGGGTCAGATCTCAACCGAAGAACGTCACCAAACTGCCGGGCCGGCCCCATCTGTCTGCCAGCTGACAAGAGAGTGTGGGTAAGGGGAAATTGGAGTCTTGGAGAAGACAGCGGAGTCTTGCTTCCGTCCCGTCGAGCCGTCTGATGAGTGAGGGGAAGGTGGGGTCGTCTGGGGTCTCGTCCGTCTTTCTGAGGGACAGAGACGGAATATTTGAACCTCTGGGCCGAAGTCAATCCCACTCTGGACATCGGTATCCCAAGAAGGTCGACTCAATATGGCAATCCGGAGCATGATGCGTCCGCAAAGGACAGCAAAGCCGTTTGAGCTGCCAGAATGCGCTGATGGTATTCGAAGCGACCCCTATATGAAGAGCGTGTCTTCGCGTCGTCTGTTAGCACTATGCGACTGAGCTGAAGCATTCGTGTTCTGTTGGCATCCTCTGTTGTTGCCGCTGCTTCATACCATTTCGCGACCCCAGCCGTCATCATGAAGTTCCAAGCTCTCCCCCTGGCGACCACCCTCTTGGCTGGCACGGCTTCCGCCTTTCAGCTCGGCGGGAAGGAGATGCCGCAGCCTGAGACGACAATGGCTGACAATTTCCCCTGGCGCGACCCATTCACAGCAAAGACGACAGACTCCTATGACCACACCTGTGAGGCGTCCAAGACGTTCGCCGCCACACAGTACACTCTGCATGACCTTTTCGAAAAGCCGCCCGTCGGGCTTTTCCCGTGGGGAGACGGCCTGAAGCTCTTCTTCTCCGGCCGCGAGTACCCCGGCGGCTGGGCGGGCCTCGATCGCCACATGTACGACCGCAACCTGCTCATGATGGACTACTCTGACCTCCCTCTTCGCGTCCGCGAGTGGATCGAGGAGCAAGAGCGCACCGAGGACAGCAATGGCAAGGGGCTCTTTGCTGTTTTCGACAAGCCCACCACCGAAGAGGAGAAGATCAAAGACCGCGTCACTGTCTCCAAGTCGCCCACGGATGTCGACCGTGACCTCGACCAGAAGCGCGTCGCCATCTTCGCGCCGGGCGCACTGTACCACATTCTGCCCCTCTTCGTCGCTGACGGCAGCGATTGCCAAGGTAAGCGGAAGAAGCTGGCCGTCCCCCTACCTTTGCCTTCTCATCATCTCGACGCATATGAAACTGACTTGGTCCGCAGCAACGCTCGCCGATTTGAGCAACTACAGCGCTGCGCCGAAGGATGCTGTTGTCGTGTCATGGCCCATCAGCCACACCCGACCCAACACCGCCCAGAAGAAGAGGGATATCGAGTTCACCGTCAAGGCGCAAGTCCTCAAGCTCAAGGAGGGTGCGAGCGAGGCCGCGGAAGAATCGCCGAGGGTTGTCAACGAGAAGGAAGCCGAGCCATCCCAGCCGGTCAAGGATGAGCTGTAGACGGGATCAGTAGGCAGGATGCACAATCGTGCAAATAGATCAGTACGTTCGGAATAGACATTCTTTCAAACCGAATGAGCGAATGATGTTACATCCTGGGAATGTGAGACTGAAAGTCATCCAAAGCCACATCCAGATTCCTAATGACATGGTCGCATGGATTATGAAGTCAGCGCACGCAAGCACTAGACCGAATCTGACGAAGGATAAAGCGGGGAGGATCAGGAGAGCGGCCAGGTGGTTGGTATCCGCCATTAGTAATCGTAGGAATCCTGCAGTTTTCTCCGTGGAACGCCGTGGAGCTCGCCGTGGCGGTGCCAAAGTCCAATGTGTGTTGTTTCGTGGGGCTTCACCGACACTCACCGAGAGGCACCCGCCGCTAACATTTCCCTTCTCGGACTCGAACGGCCATGCAGTCCGACACTGCGCTCCGTGGAGGCGGAGTCTCCTCCAAGTCTTCTCACCATCCGCGGCGACCAAAGGTAACAACAACACCGCCAACATTTCAGCATTACAAATGAAAACTTAGCTATAAGAACGGAGATCTCTCGCATGCTTTTGAATTTCGAACGCATATCACCGCTCCCATCTCAATCAGTTTCACACCATTGACCCGACATTAAAACCTCAACCAACAAGTCAAAATGTCTTCTCGTTACGCAAGTGAAGCCGCCAGCCCGGAGCCACTGGCTCAACCCTTGTCTTTTCCCTTCTCCACCAAAACAGCCAAGAATCGTTTCTTGAAGAGTGCAATGGCTGAGAACTTGGCGACGTGGAGTGGAAGCGAGCCATCCAAGAGAGGTGTTCCCACACCAGAACTTGTTGAGGTCTATCGCCGGTAAGTCGCATTTTCCCAACACCCGTCTCTCTCCCATAATTGTTCTCAAGAGTCTTTTTTTCAAGACTGACAAATTGAAATGCAGTTGGGGAGAAGGCCCAAACAACTTTGGTGTCATCGTCACTGGCAACATTGATGTCGAGTTCGACTACATGAGCAGCATTGGTGACATGATCATCACACCCGAGTGCAAGCCTGAGGGAGAACGCTTTGAAGGTTTCAAAGCCGTTGCTGCGGCCGGCAAGGCCGATGGTAGTCTCATGCTGGGCCAAGTCACCCACGCTGGAAGACAGGTTCAAAAGAAGATCCAGCCCAACCCGATTTCGGCGTCGGCAGTCGTACTCGGTATGCGGTTTTTCATCTCCCAAAAGCTCATGGCTAGACTAACAAACTTCAGAACCCAAGATGGGCATGGAATTCGGCAAGCCCCGTGAAGCGTCCAAGGAAGACATCAACCGCGTCATTGAAGGTTTTGCGCATGCCGCCGAATATCTTGACAAGGCCGGCTTCGACGGTATCCAACTGCACGCGGCGCATGGCTATCTCATCGCTCAGTTCCTATCCCGCACGACGAACCACCGAACCGACGAGTACGGCGTCCAGACGCTCGAGAACCGGACACGTCTAATTGCCGACATCGGAAAAGCAATCCGCGCGCGGACATCTCCTGATTTCATCCTCTCGGCGAAGCTCAACAGCGTCGAGTTCCAAGACGGCGGTGTAACCCCTGACGAGGCCCGCGAGCTTTGTGCATTCCTATCAGAGCTCGGTTTCGATTTCCTCGAGATTTCTGGGGGCACGTACGAGGCGCTTGGCATGTCTTGGACAAAGGAGTCTACTCGCAAGCGGGAGGGGTTCTTCCTGGAGTTCGCCGAGACGGTCGTCGCGGGTCTAGGAGACCGCGACACCCGCAAGACCAAGGCGTATATCGTGGGCGGTATGAGAACCGTGGGGGCCATGGTGAAGGCCCTGGATATTGTCGATGGCGTTGCCTTGGGTCGGCCTGGGGCCCAAGAGTTCCGGATCGCTTCGGACATTCTTGAAGGTCGTATCACAGGGGCAATTCGCCCAGTTCAAATGATGGAGGACGATTTCGGGTTCGGACTCACGGCGGCGGGTGCGCATATCCGCCAGGTCAGCAAGGGGCAGGAGCCCTTCGACTCGAGCGATCTTGCGGCTACCGGAACCTTTGCATCGGACATGCAAGCTTGGTACCAAGATATGATTGCTGACGGGGATAAGCTTGAACATCATGGTGGCGTTGACTTTTCTGGGAAGACGGTGCCTTATGGAGGCGTTACGGCAGCCCAGGCGTAAGAGCAAGTTGCGTCTTGTGATTCTCGGGGTTGATTGCTTTTCAATGCATTTAGAATTTTTTTCTTAGTTAGAATCGCCTACTTACTTAGAATTCCATTAAGATCTGCTTTTACATCAATAGAAGTTACCTGCATTAGACGCCATGTATCTCGGTGAGTCGGTGAGCATAGATGTACCACTGCATTAATGTGGCTAAGCTGTCTCGATTAGCAGCAATAGTCACACGATTTCGGTCAAAGAGTCTGCGAACCATCCAATCGGAATACGAGCCTGCTTGTCTGGAAGGATTCATGATGGGGTGGACTGTGGCTTGGTAGGTGACAAATGGGGCTATCCTCAGTCGGATTTGTAATCCTCTGCTTACACCCACATCCCGCGTCTGATTCGCTCCTTCAGATGTCATTTAACTCATGCGGTCAGTCAAATCGCAAATACGCCTCTGCAGATGGTCATCAAAGGGGTTCGATTCTGTAGATGACCTTGTTTTGGTTTGAGGAGTTCCGCCAAGAAGTGCCAGATTCCCCATCATCATGGAAACGTCTTCTCAACGGCGGAAAGGTCAGATCCACTCACCTCGTTCAACCTGCCCCAAAGACAAGTTTTCAGTCATGTTCTAACATAAGGTACGACAGCCTGCGATCTCTGTTTTATCAAGAAGATCAAATGCGACATGCTCAAGCCCGCATGTTCGAACTGCCTGCTCTACAAGTCAGAATGCCGGACAACAAGTGTGAGGCGAAGAGCACCTCACCCAAAAGAACGACCACAGCCTCCAATACAGAGCGAATCTGAAAAGTGAGGCGAGCTCATCCTTGGTATTCTCAACAGTCTTCTAATCAAGCACTCAGTCCAACGAAAGTCTCCGAGTTAGAGAGCCGTCTAGCGAGCATAGAAAAGCAATTGCAGCAAGCCCTCGACGCCAACCGTCAACACTCCAACCAAACCTCAACCCAACCCTCAACAGCACCGAGCTCAACCGAGAGTATCAATGGACGTGGGCAATCGGCAGAGAGCATCGAGTTCGTGGACCATGTGTCCAGCAGCGAGAGCCCAAGTGAATGGGTGACGGAGCCCGAGAAGCCCAAATTACCACCGCTCGAGGAGATCATGCCCATCATCGACGAGTTCTTCAACCGCTACAACTGCGTCATGCCGCTCTTTGACCCGCCAACGTTCATGCGCATGTTGTCAAATTGGTATGTGCCTTCTTCTGGGCAGTCCACGGCAGTGTGGGCAGCGGTCAATATCGCAATGGCGCTAGGCTACCGCTGCACTTTAAAGGAGCAAGGCAACTTGGACGCTCTGGTGGACGACCAGAAAGTGATGTATCATATGCGCAACGTACAATCTGTCGTATCCGATTTGGTCACGCGGGAAGAAGATCTCCTTGGCCTTCAGGTCTTGTTGGGAATGGTGGTGTTATTCCTGGGGACGAAAGACCCAAAGCCAGCTTCTGTCGTGATCGGGACTGCTGTGCGTCTAGCACACCGCATGCATCTCCATGACAAGGAATCGCTTCAGTTCTTTTCTCCAGAAGTTGCCCGACAAAGAGCGAGGCTCTTCTGGATCACCTATATCATGGACAAGGTAAGTCGCAGCTTGACAATTCTCGTGATGCACACGCGCCTGACCACATTTGTAGGAAATCAGCTTGAAGTCCAAGACGCCGTCGTTTCAGCTTGACGTAGATATCGACTTGCCGCTACCAGAAAGAGACCCGGAAGACGGTGCAGGCATAATGTTTGCGAGAAACGGCAGAAAATTCAACTACTTTCGAGCTCGGGTGGAGTTGAGTCACATTGCCGGCAAGGTCTATGACCAGCTGTACAGCACACGCGCTCGGAAAGTGTCGCAGCAAGATCGACAACTAAGAGTGACAAGACTCGAGGAGATGCTGGAGAACTGGCGGCGTAATCTACCGCCTGAATTTCAGATAGACTCGGCACTCCAATGTCTCGATTCCCTGCCGATAGTCCACATGTCGCTCCTTTACCACAGCTACTTCACGGCGATGGTGATGACACATGGGATCTACTCGCACGACGCGGACTGGGTCCGACGGATTAGCTCGTACAGTCAGATGACGATCAAGGATTTAGATTCGTCTCCGAGCTCGTCATGCGGACATCAAAACCCCCCTCTGCCGCTTGGGTGGGCCAAGTGCGCGGAGCTGAGCCGCAGTTGCATGAAGCTGTTCGTGGAGTCGCCCAAGACGGATTGCAGCATCTGGTCCAACTCGTGCGCGCACTTCTCCGGCCTGATCATTCTCCTGGCCAACATGTTTGTGTTCCCGGATCACCCACACCTGATGACAGACAACGAGCTGGCCAACCAGGCACTCAAGCTTTTCGAGCTGATGCTATCGATGAAGAGTTACGAAGACTATGAGTCCTTTCATAGACTGCATGAAGTCGTCAAGGAGCTCCATCGGCGTGCGTTGGAGGCTGTGGAGGAGGTTACGAGAAAACAAAAGGAGCGGGCAGAAGCAGCAGCAGCAGCAGCTTCGGCGATGGATACCGGCTTACCGTTTGGGGCTCAGCTCGAGGACGAAGTGGAATTCTTCCGAGATGCCGAGGCGGCAGGCTTGGAGGGGCCCTTCGTTGGAACGTTTGTGCCGGCATCACCGTTTGCGACAACATCGTGGGGTTTGGAAGGGTTGCAGAGCGAGGTAGGCCAGGTGCCGTCACTGGCAACGTACAGCCCTTTCTAGTCGGTGTAGATGCGACGAGAGCTCGATAATGAAGTTAATGATACACGTCAAGACGCAAATGAACATCGAATTCATCAGGTGCTTCGCTGTGAAATTTCGACCAATCTGACCGAAAAAACACGAGCGGGCCGGCCCCGATTCGGATTCGGAGCCCGGGTCATTGCCCAGATCTACCCGCTAGCTCACTGAAGCTTTCTTTCCAGGGGGGGCACGGGAGGGCAGCTGCGGGGTGAGGTGCTCCCATCTCTTTAGGCATTCCGGGGCTCGGATGACGGAGAGTGGGGCTCTTGGGTGCTTAGAGTTCGAAGATGGGGCCAGAGATCGATAGCAGCGGCCAATGACGATGCACCAATTTCCAAGCGGTGTAGGGAGGAAGGAGCTCCCGTCCACTAACAGCTACCACAGCAGGCACACAGCACCCAGCAGCAGGGACTGGACGACGTCGTTGTGTCGCAACTTCCCCATGCAATTGTCATGTCGTCATAGCCACAATGCTCAATCCGGACGCAATGAGTGGTTCCCGCGCGGCTGCTCCTCCTTTATCTGCGGCCACTGGGAACTGCTTCCGCAGCTGCTCCTCCAAGTGCCGCCGCCCCTCGAAGACCCCAACTGCTTACACTATCCGACGTCGACAACCTCGCTGATTGCCCCCCTCGCCCTCGTCCACCCAATTACCGCCCCAGGACTCGAAACCATCGTCTGATCGCAAGCACGTCACGTCACGCTCCCTCGCCTAGTCCGCCTCCCAGATCTCACTCCCCACGCTGCTCATGCGTATTCCGAGACCTCTATACCGTCAATCAACCATATCCAGCCTCCTCCGCAAGCCAATTCAAACCAGATCATTCTCCCAAAGTGTCAAAGACATGGCCGACTACAAGCTGAAGGCGGTCTCCTCGCTATCACTCCGACCGGGTGACAAGCAAGAGGTCGAAGTTGAGGGCATTGAAGGAGCAAAGGTTCTGCTTGTCAACGCCGGCGGCAAGATCCAGGCCGTTGGTCCCAAGTGTACCCATTTCGGTGCTCCTCTCGTCAAGGGCGTCTTGACGACTTCTGGTCGACTGACTTGCCCGTGGCACGGAGGTATGTTGACAACTTTGCTACGCCCCCGCACCATGCCCACGCTGACTTTTCCATAGCCTGCTTCAACACCAAAACCGGTGATGTCGAGGATGCCCCCGCCCTCGACTCCATTCCCGTCTTCAACGTCACCGAGCGCGACGGCGCAGTCTACATTACCGGCGAAGAATCCGCCATCAAGAGCGGCCGACGGAAGCCCAACTTCAAGTGCAATGTCGTCAGTGGAACTCAGGAGGAGAAGGTCGTCATTGTCGGTGGCGGCTCAGGCGCCCTGGGGGCTGTCGAAGCCCTGCGGAACGGCGGTTACCAAGGTCCATTGACAATCATCTCAGCCGAGGGATACCTCCCCATCGACCGTACCAAGTTGTCCAAGGCCCTTTTGACAGACGTCAACGCTCTGCAATGGAGAGACAAGGCTTGGTACGAGAGCGGCTCTGTTGACTGGGTCGACGACGAAGTCACCGACGTCGACTTCTCCGATCGCAAGGTATCCACAAGCGGCGGCAAGACACTGCCCTACACCAAGCTTATCCTGGCAACTGGTGGAACTCCAAGGAACCTACCCCTGCAGGGCTTCAAGGTCCTCGGGAACATCTTCACCCTTAGGACGGCCCACGACACACAAAAGATTGTCAAGGCCATCGGCGAGAAGGGCAAGAAGATTGTCATTGTTGGATCCTCCTTCATCGGTATGGAGGTTGCCAATGCCACCGCCAAAGACAACGATGTAACCGTCATTGGCATGGAGAAGGTACCCCTCGAGAGGGTTCTCGGAGAGAAGGTCGGCGCTGGTATCCAGAAGAGCCTTGAGAAGAACGGCGTCAAGTTCCACATGAATGCCGGCGTAGAGAAGGCTGAGCCCTCTGGTTCTGACCCGTCCAATGTCGGGGCGGTTCACCTCAAGGACGGCACCAAACTGGAGGCTGACCTGGTCATCCTGGGAGTTGGTGTTGCGCCCGCCACTGAGTTCCTCAAGGAGAACAAGGTCATCCGCCTTGAGCAGGACGGTTCCATCAAGACAGACGAGAACTTCTTGGTTGTTGGGCTGAAGGACGTCTACGCCATTGGCGACATTGCCACATACCCGTACCACGGACCTGGGGGCGATGGACGATACACGCGCATCGAGCACTGGAACGTCGCTCAGAACGCCGGCCGTACCGTGGCGAGCAACATCATCAACGCGGCGGTGCAGCCTGCGCGTTTCATCCCCGTTTTCTGGTCGGCCTTGGGCTCCCAACTGCGGTACTGCGGCAACACAATTGGCGGTTGGGATGATGTTGTGATTCAGGGAAGCGTCGAGGAGTCAAGCTTCGTCGCCTATTACACCAAGGGCGACACGGTTGTGGCGATGGCATCCATGGGCAAGGATCCCGCCATGGTTCAGTCGGCCGAGTTGATGGCTTTGGGCAAGATGCCGTCCAAGAAGCAACTGGCCGACGGCCTGGATATCACCACCATCGGACCGCTGGAAGCGTAGTTTAGTCGCCGAAGGATAATAAATGGACGATTTGTTTACACAATGCGGTATCATGTCTACACTCGTCGTTACCTACTGGAAATAATAATATCGCTCTTACCTGGCTAAGCAACCCTTGTCCGCAAGCTGATCAAACCCTGAGGGGCTTGTTGTCTTGTGTAGAATCTCTAGTAGATGCGCGCGAGAGTATTTTTGGAGGCTGAATCTATCGTAGACGCAGCCCCCAAAAAGGGATGCATGGGTATGTATCGGATAGCCGTAGTCGTACGAATCCATGGCAGCCGCAGCCGTCACGGGTTCGGCGCGGGGTGCGGGGGTGCGAACGCGTCGCAACGAGTTTCTTCTATTTCCCCAGCCTCCAGTCTCCCCAGATGTTGAGCAGCTGCGCTAGTCTGTAGAACCCCAGATCATCGAGCCACAGGCTCCGGGCCGGATCTCTGATATACTGGACATGTGACAGCTTGGCCTTAGAATGGAATCGACGACGACCCTACGAGCAGGGGAGGCGCCGCGCCCGACGTCGCGACCATGGGGAAGACATCGGCCCTATGGTGGAACCACCGACGGAGAGAAATGAGCAAGCGCGCCCGCAATGAAGGTGAAGCCATATGTGCGCATTATCTGTACGTGTCCAACACACACAAAAAGACTCTGGAATGGCTTCATTCAGGGGTTTGTGCTGCAGGGTCTTGGTACGCCATCAGGACATGATCGTACCGTCATCGGACGAGTGTTTGTTGGGGATGAGGTTGAGCTTTCTGCTTGAAGAAACAAATTTTCTTGTCTAATAGAACAAAATCCATCACGTTTATGCTGGAAACCATGGAAGCGCGTCTGTGTAAAAAGCCGCGTGCGGCTCAACAGAGTAGCGGCGGGATGATGCCAGCAGCTTGGCGGGTGGCAGATGGGGCTCCTTGGGGAAAAGGCATCGAGGAAAGGCCGAAAGAGTGAGCGGGAGTGTGGGCGAACAGCAGAAAAGACAAGACGATGGATCCAGTCGGGCAGGGGGCGGATCTGCGCTGCTGCAGAGATTCGGACCGGAGATGGAGACGCAGGAGACTGGGATGAGAGTCAGGGTCCAGGGTGCGGACGGCTCTGTCTTCTTTTCGCGTCTTTCAAGTTGCAGGATCATGGATGAGATCTTTCCCGTAGGAGATCAACAGCACGGCAGCAGTAGTGTTGGCGGTAGTTGGCACCGTTGATGGGCAATGGGGGCAGGCAGGTGATGCGGTTTGTTGAAGTGCCTAGTGCCCTGGAGAGGCCGAAGCACGGCGGCTACTGCACACACCATGAAGGCCGGTCGGAGGTGTGGTAGCGGCGGGCACCGGTGGGCGCAACCCGGGGGCCATGGTGGTGTGAGGGACGCGAGCCAGAGAGGTCGATAGGCCGTTTTGACCGAAGCCGCTGACGTTTTAGAGTTTGGCTGATGGGGTGCATTCGATGAGGTTTGCTGTTGGTGGTGTTGGTGGTGATGGCGCTCGTAGGGCGCGGCGGCCTTGTGAGAATTTCAGCGAGAGCATGGCCGGGCGGAATCGGAGGGTAGGTTGGTTGGTGACTGGTCAGCGGTTGGTTTGAGGCTCACGATGATGGAGAATCCTGATCGAAGCAGCGGAGAGAAAAATAGATGCGAAATAATTAGCGTTCGAAGCGAGGTGGGCTGCAGGAGCGAATAAGAGGCGGCGACGTGATGGGGAAAGAGGGCCAGCGACGTGGAAACGGGCCGAACAGCGTCCACTTCAAATCTTTCGAGACAAGCAACTGGGCGGCTGCAAGCTGGGGGAATGCCTGTGCTGGGGGCAGAGCCGAGGCCAGGCGTTGGTTGCCAGGACCATGTCAGCGGAGCGGGAACATGAAGGTGTCGACTTTGAAAATTGTGCACTTTTCTCTTGTTCTTTTTTTTTGTTTGTCATTTGTCTTGAAATGACTGGTTCGGGAGGAGGCGACGAGGAAAGAAGCGGCCTCCTTGCGTGCGACGACTCACGAGAGGTGGACGAAAGTTGGGAAGGAAGAGACATCGCGCCCAAGTGCATCTTGCCTTGGCTGTAAGTGGAAGGAAAGAGACGGCCCTAAGCCGGCAGTTGGTACCTTCCTACCAAGACACCCGTCTCGACTACGTCTACTTTTGACTGGTCGATGAGACGGGGTTTGGGGGTGTCAGATGGTGGTGTTCTCAACGGCGTGCTGGCACTGAATGGCATTGTTTTAGCGTTGCTTGTTGTTGAAGCTGGCAGCATCCAGTCAGTCAGATCATCCATAGTGTCATTCATTCAATTCAAGGTTGGCGTTGGCGGCCATGCCGTGCGTGGACCGACCCCACCTTTGCGACGGCCTCTCTGTACCTAGGTAGTGTACAACCACAGATGTACCGTTGTTGTTTTTCTTGCTTGTGTTCCTTGCTTTCCCCATGCAGTTTCGATTCTTCAAATTCCCCAGTTCCCAC